TTCTACATGCACCATTCAGTGACATTGATTACATATTTCTCACCCTTCTTTTCTGAGTTGTTCACTGTGTTCTACATGTACGTGTTCTAGCTGATCTTTTGAGTTGATACAGCCAGTTTGATCCCATGTAGCTAGTTCTTGAGAAGAGCATATTCCACAAGGCAGACATTCTTTGCTAGTTAAAGTAAACTATTGTTTAGTTTTAAGAAGACTTCAGGGGATATTTTTGGTTTAAGGGTTAAAGATTATCTCAGGGCAATAGTTTTGGGAGTTCATCCAGCTTCCATGACTCCAGAAATCCAGGATTGCATGAGACTTGGAAATTCTGTTTTGTAATTCCTCCTTTTGATCAAGATTCTTCGATGGAATCTTTGATCACGATATACAGTAATGGCTGCCAGGCACAATCCAGTTCTGGTTTCATGGCAAAGGAGGCAATGAGCCACACTTTGCAGTTTTTATTTCTATCCTTGACTCTCCTTCTTCCCTGTTGATACAGGTGAATAGAGACCACTTGTTGTACCATTCATAGAGTATCTCTCAAACTTGACCTGCCCAGTATTACCTACCAGTCTTATATCCCGTTTTGGAGAACTATCATACTCTCTGACTTTCAAATCAATAGTAATCAGTTACTCGGATGAACTGGTGCCTCCAAAGTGTTAGTCAAAGTATTGTAACCTTTGGAAAATGTTTGTGCAGTGATGAGAATTTCAGGTAGACTGAAATTCTAGGTAGGAGGTTCTGGTTTTCCTCTCCAGCCTATATACAGTGAATTTCCTCACCCTTTTGTAAAGTCAGCAGTTCTCAAACTTTCAGGTCTCAATCAATACCCCTTTATATTCTTAAAAATTGAGGGAGACGTCTGGTCTGGGCAAGATGGCATAGAAGTGTTTCCCCCTGTTAAACACAGTTATAAACTCTGCAAATAATGCAAGAGACAATCAAGGGAGAACTCTGGGAAAAAAAAAAAAAAAAGATAAAAATAAAGCAAACTGGTTTGAGACCTGAGGATCAAAAGAAGAAGACAGAGGCAGAATGTCTTATATCTCTCCACGCAACAGAAGAAGACAACCCAGACCTGGGATAATGCACTACAGCTCTGGTAGCGTAGTGGTTATGAATCAGGCTGCGAACCTCAAGTTCAGCAGTTCAAAACTACCAGCTGTTCCGTGGGAGAACGATGAGGCTTTCTGCTCCTGTAAAGATTTACAGCCTCGGAAACCCTGTACAAGGTCACTGTGCGTCAGAACTGACTCCACAGCACATAACCACCACCACAAGGTCAGCTTAAGCTGCAGGGTGAGCAGTTCTTACCCACCAGCCACTCCTCGGAAGCCCTATACCGGGCCGCTATGAGTTGGAACCGACTCGACAGTACTTAACAACAGCAACAACAACAACCTAGCCACAGTGCAGCCTCAGTAGGGCCAAGGAATGCCCTAGAACACCCAGGCCTATCATCTTAGTTTCTTATTGCAGCTATAAAAGAAATATCACTAATGAGGGGCTTAAAGGAAACTTACTTTCTTACAGTTTAGGAGTCTGGCTGATTGTGTGCCTGTCAGAATTATGTGTCGGTTCTGACTCAAAGCCACCCTGTGGAGGGTTTGTTGTTGTTAAGTGCCTTCGAGTCGGTCCGACCCATAGCAACCCTGTACAGGGTTTCCGAGGGTGTAAATCTTTATGGGAGTAGAAAGCCTCATCTTTCTCCCGCGGGTTTACAAGGTTGTAAATCTCTATGGGAGCTGAAAACCTCCTGTTGCTTTTGTGGAGTGAACTTGTACTGCTAACCTTGTGGTTAGCCACCCCGTGCACAACCCACTATGAGGGAGCTGGTTCTAGGGGAAGTCTTTCTCTCTGTGTTGGCTCTGAGGGAAAGTCCTTGTCTCATATCAGCTTCTGTTCCTTTTCCTTGGATCCTTGGTGATCTTCATGTGGTGTTTATCTTGCTCTCTGTTTGTGCTTCTCGCTCTGTACCTAATCTGTTCTTTTTATACTTCAAAGGTGATTGGTTTAACACACACCTACCTTCCCCTGATAATGGTCTCATTAATATAACAAAGGAAGTCCTATTTCCAAATGGAATTATAGCCACAGGGGTTTAGGATTTATAAAGTCTAATTTTAAGGGGGACACAATTCAACCCATAACACCCTCTTAGAATCGATGTCCTGATTTGAACTTCTAGCCTTTAAAACTGTACCACAATAAAAGTCTGTTCTTTATAGCCACTCGCTCTTTTGTATTGTGTTACGGTAACACTAGATAAAAAGACACCCGCCATAATAGCACCTCCTCCTCACTGAGAGACACCCCAAAGCCCAACTTAGGGAGACCCACCCCTTCAGACAGCATGATCAGGGATTACTGGGAGTCCCAGTGATACCAAATCAACCGCAGAGACCAAAACAATACCGCAAACGCTCTGAAAATTAAACTGTTATTGGAATAATAGACCATGAAAGTAGGGCGAGATCTGTGTGCTAAGCATAAACAGTGACTATTTGCAAAAATAAAATATGTCAATAGGAGTCTCCTAGCAAAACAGACAAAATGTTCAATCTAAAATCATGTCTTATCAAGAACCAAGAAAACCACAACTGATTTCAACACGGAAATGAATCAGATATTTTAATGACCTAAAGGCTGCGAACCTTAAGGTCAGCGGTTCGAAACTACCAGCCGCTCCACAGGAGAAAGATGAGGCTTTCTGCTCCCGTAAAGATTTACACCCTCGGAAACCCTGCACAGGGTCGCTATGGGTCGGACCCGACTCGATGGCACTTAACAACAACAACAACAAAAAGGGAATTTTAAAGCAGTTGTCATAAGAATTCTTCAACAATCCATTACAAATTTCCTTAAAACAAGTGAAAAGAAAAATAATAGAAAATCTCAGCAAGAAGTTAGTTAAAAATAACCAAATGGAAAATTACGGAACTGAGAAATATGACCACAGGGGGAAAAAAACTCTGAAGGGCTCAGTAATACCATGGGACTTGAAGACAGATTAATAATTCACCCAATCTGAACAATAGAGAGAAAATAGGCTGAAAAAATTGTTAATACAGACTGAGGTGTAATAGCAAAAGAGTCAACATTTATATCATTGGAGTCTCAGATGACAGGGAGAACGAGAGTAGATCTCAAAGAATGAAGAAATAAAATAGTTCAAAACTCTTAAATTGGTGAAAAGAAGCTCTGGTAGCGTAGCGGTTATAAGTCAGGCTGCTAACCTCAGGGTCAGCAGTTCGAAACTGCCAGCCGTTCCGCAGGAGAAAGATGAGGCTTTCTGCTCCTGTAAAGATATACAGCCTCAGAAACCCTATATAGGGTTGCTGTGAGTCAGAACTATTTCCACGGCACACCACCACCACCACCACCACCAAATTTGGTGAAAGATCTAAACCTACACATTCATTAAGCTGAGTGAACCTTTAAACAGGATAAATCCAAAGAAATCCATGCCAAAACACATCATAATTAAACTCTTGACAACTAAATGCGTTGAAAACAGTCCGAAATAACCAATGTATTGCCTATAGCAGAACACCAATTCTAATAACAGCAGATTTTTCATCTGAAACCAAAGGGGCCAGAAAGAAATAGCACACCATCTATCAAGTGCTGAAAGAAAAGAACAGTCAATTGTGAACTCTATATCTGGAAAAACTATCCTTCAGGAATAAAGGGGAAATAAGTGCATTCTCAGACAAAAGAAAGCAGAAATAATGTGTTCATAGCAGGCCTACCCTTTAAAAATGGCTATAGGAAGTTCTTCAAACAGAAAGTAAATCTTAATGAGGAGAGAATCTTGAAGCATCAGGAAAGGAACAATGGGAAGAGTAGAAATATGAGTCTGTCCTTAACTCAAGAGTCTTATAAATCATATTTGATGATTGAAAGAAAATTATAATACCACTGAAGGCAGTGATATCTAAAAGTGGAGAAAGTAAATGGATCTAAATGGAAGTGAGGTCTATAACAGTATGATGTCATATCTAGAGCATTCACTATGAAAACTATACAGAGATCAACTTGAAACATTTAAAAGTACTATGAATAAATCAAAATGGTATCATAAAAAATGTTCACGTTATCCACAGGAAGGCAAGGAAAGAAACACAGGAAGAAGAGCTAGATTAAGGGGCTAGAAAAAGAACAAATAAGGCAAGCAGAAGGAAGGAAATAATAAAGGTAAGAGTTGAAATCAATGGAATTGAAAATGAGGAAAAAACAATAGAGAAAACCCAGCAAAACTAAAACCTGGTTCTTTGAAAAAAAAAAATCAATAAAATTGATAAACCTCTAGGAAGACTGAGGAAAAGAGATAAGACACATATAATTATATCAATTGATACAGAGACACCATTTAACAAAATCCAATATCCATTCATGACAAAAATAAGTAAAAGTTAGAAGTAGAGGGTATATCCATTTCCTAGGCTGCCATAACAAACGATCAAAAATTGGGTGATTGAAAACAGCAAACAGTTATTTTGTCATAATTCTGGAGGCCAGAAAACTGTAGAAATATGACTAATATTAGTGGGTTGTATAGTATGTCTTTGTGGTGCTGTGGATTAATGTGCTGGACTGCAAAATTGGTTTGAACAGTAAGGCTGATGGTTCAAGTTCACCAGATGCTCCTCAGAAACTCCATACAGGGTCGTTATCGGTCAGAACTGACTTGACGGTACTATAACAACAACAACAACAGCAACAACATAGATGTAATGTCCTGGATGTGATATCATACTGGAGTTTTGAAAAATGTTACCATGGGGGGGTAAAATGAACATGATATCCCTCTGCCAGATTTCTTACAAACTGCATGTACATTTACAGTTATCTCCATGAAAATTTTAAAGACCATTGAAAAATAAAACTGCTTCACTATGTGAATTAGTTCTATTTATATTTACTGTATTAAAATTAAGACAGTGTTTTTTAATTCAAGGTTATGCAAACATACATATTTGTTACCTGTCGCTTAGCTTCTGGAAAATTTTCTTTGTACACTCATGAAAGACTGAGAGTGAAAAAGAAAAATCACATCTTAGTATTATTATGAATTTAGATTTCATCTTGCAGCCTCCCAAATGGTGACTGACTCATCTAAGTTTTCAGTGACGTTAGCACTGAAAGTCCTAGCCAAAAATGTGTGGTTTGCCTGAGATTTCCCTGGTTTTCAAACTGAAAGTCTCACATGCTGTAAAATTTGAGTACTTCACATTATAGTTTGTTAGGGCCTCCCCTATTACTACTCCAATTGCTTGCTCAATTTTCTTATGTGGTTTTCCTCAGATCGGGTTCCTTGATCAAGATGCCACTGAAAAGTGCTTTATAATAATTTTTTAAATGTTATCAGAATGTGCATACTATTGTTTTTATGATTATCTTTTCAGGTCAGGTTACTATGGTGCAAGTGACCATCCCAGATGGTGTCATGAGCGTGATTGTTGGATCTAATGTCACTCTTGTCTGCACCTACACCACCAGTGAAGCCTCCTTGGACAAACTTGTCATCCAGTGGTCTTTCTTCCGTAAGGAGTTGCAGCCAACTTCCGTAAGAACTCTTTTCCCCAAACTGTTTCCTTTTGTTATTTCTGAAAACTGTTGGGTATGGTGTCTGAAGGAATAGTGAGCCAGTGACAACAGTGGCACAACATCAGATGAGAAGAGTTTGAAGAAAGCTGTGAAGGGAAAACCATCATCTTAGTGACTTGGACTTTGTTTTCTCTTCATATGCGGTTATAGCCCATTATCTCAATTCTGTGTAGGCCAACTTCGAGTATATCATGTGACCTAGAGTAGGCAAGATTGGGCCTGATAGGCGAAACGAGCAGTAGCTCTGAAAGGGTGTTCCCCCCAAATATCTCCTTGACTATTAGTTCCAGAAGCCCCCAGTTCAAATGCATGTCCGACCTGATCAAGGGTTCTCTGTCAAACTTACTATCAGGGATCTGAGTCCTGTTGCGGTGAGACTCCCCGGATGGGTGACAAACCCTGTGTAATCAAAGGAGGCTAGAGGATAGGGCTTAGGGTGGGTAGGCCTAGCGTCTGAAGGAAGAAGTTGCTATACGAGGGTCGGTGAAAGTCAAAAGAAGAGGCGACTTCAATATGCCAGCTGCCTACTTGCCATGTTTTCTTCATCTGGCCATCAGCCCGAGTTCTCAAATATTATACTCTAACATGTGTAAGTGGATTCAAAAGAATCCATGGTCCAAAACAGGGAGGTAAGAGAATAGACAACTCAGTCAGGTTTGCAATAGTTGAATGCAGTTGAGTTGGGCCTTGAAGGGAAGGAAGGGTTTGGGTTTGTAGAAAGAGAGTGGGTTGAGTGGGCTGGGAAGCAAAGCTAAGGAGTGACTCCTTAGATAGTGCCACTCCTTAGATCGTGTCACTTCAATGTGTTACTGACCCTCCGGGGACACTGAATCCTCTCTTTGCCTGAAGTCCTAAACACTCACTTAGTAGGAAACACCATGGAGAAGATCCTGTTAATACCAGCACTCTCTAGTCAAAGGTAAACAATTTTTTCTCAGTACTGCTTATCTTGGACTAAATCTCTCTGTGCCTGTCTTTAAAATATGGCTAGACATTATCACTTTCCTACATTTTTTGTGAAGAATCAAGTAACATTACATATGTGAAAACACAAATGTATCTAAAGCTCTCTAAGTTTTCTCCCTTTTATCATCATCATCATTATTGTCCTTCTCATCATTATCAAGAGCAGCAGCATTAAATAATTCTACCTATTTCCATCCCCCAAAATGCCCAGACACAAGATCTTGCACTTTAGGGTCCAGTAAGAAATCAAGCTTTCCCTTTGCAGTTCACTCCAACAGATTGTGGATACATTACTCATATAATCTTTCTTCCTTTTAAATTCAATTTCCTGGCTGGTTTTTTTTCAGCATCTTCATTATCTCTAGAATTGACATCCTCACTTTGCCAGTAGGGGCTGAATTTAGAGAGGCCTTGCTAAAATCTTTTGAGATTGTGTGTGTGTGTGTGTGTGTGCTTGGTATTCAAATCAAGATGTCCTCAGCTGCCTGGAGGTGAAGCCAGGTAAGGTTGAGTTCAAAAACACACGTACTCCCTTATGCTTCCACTGACACTGCAATGAATAAGATTACCTCTTGGTTGAACTGTGTAGTTAGTGAGGAACTGGGAGCTGCAGGGTCAAAGGATCTTGTGACCAGCAACAAGCTTTCTCTAGATCTGGAGATGCAAATGAAGAAGGTATATGATGAAGGACAATGAAGTGTTTGGACTAAGTGTGGTTTGAGCTCAGGATATCTCTTAAAAGGACTTTAAAAAACAAAATCTATTAAATACGTTTTTTATTGAGTGGTTTATTTACTTGCCATTGGCCGTCATCTTCAAGCTATCGGGTCCAGGTGAGGCGAGTAACTTCGGGTATCTGCTTTTTTGGAATGTCCATATCAAAGGTCCTTGGAACACACTCTTTGATTTTAAAACAGTGCATGAGAGCTGTGTTCTGCCTGGTTTTTGACTGCACAGAAGACAAGATGAAGTAGGGTCGGCTCTTGGCTTGGGGACAGTGAAGACCATTCCCATACAGCTAAGCTGCTTCTCTTCCTCTTTTCCTGTCTTGCTTGCTTCAGCTTATCCCAGCGGGATTCCCATTACACTCATCTTTAGCTTTCTGCTGCGAGAAAACTGGAGCTTCGCCCTCTCCCCCCACCTCAGACCTTGCAGGCCTATGCTTTTCTCTGCTTTGCCTGATGATTTGGAGCCTTGGTGTAAACCTCCTGATTGGTATTAGTTCTCCTCTTTATGATGCTACTTTCTGGCTTGGTGGTGGTGGTGGTGGTTATGGTGGTTATGTGCCGTGGAGTCAGTTCCGACTCATAGTGACCCTGTATACGGTTTCTGAGGCTGTAAATCTTTACGGGAGCAGAAAGTCTCATCTTTCTATCTGGGAACAACTGGTAGTTTCAAACTGCTGACCTTGAGGTTAGCAGCCCGAGAAAAATCAGTCTTTCAGAGGTTCAGTTTTATCATCTATAAAACAGGGCTATTTGTGTGGCCCTGTAGGATAAGCACTGGACCACAAGGTCGACTTGCACTGCAAGGTCGGTGGTTCAAATCCACCAGCCTCATCTCAGAAACCCTATACAGTATCACTATGAGTCGAAACTGACTTGATGGCACTTAACAACGATAGTTTTACTATGAATATTAAATGAGATGATGCCTGTCAAGCACTTATGAGCCTTTTAATAGTAAGCATTCAGTGAGTATGAGCTATTGATATTCTTAGCACCACAATGGAGACCTGATGCGGCATTGTAGGATAAGCACTGGGTGGCTAGCCCCAAGGTCTGAGGTTCAAGACCACCAGCCACTCCTCAGGAATCCTATTCAGGGTCACTATGAATCAGAACCGATATGAGAGTACTTAACAACAACAACAGAAATTTACAAAATGGTGATTTATCCCATCCCTATCAGAGAAACTGAGTCATGGTCACTGGGGAACCCAGTCCAGCAAGGTTCACTTAGTGTAGCTGAACCACTTTGGGAGGATATCCTGCCTCCCACCCCGTTCCCTTCTTTGCATGAGCCTGAGGTAAAGGACATGTCAGTTCCCTTCTAAGTCTGGTTCTCATCCTGTATGGAACTCCTGAACAGACATTCTTAGTTAAGATGGCATTTTTCCGAATGGCATTTGGCCCCATTTGTAGTGTGTTTCATGTTTGAGCACTTCCATGCAATCGAACTTCTGCAGAGCACATTGTATGTTAATCTAGGGCCTGAATGTAGGACATTTTGGAGGTACTAGAAAGAGACTGCTGCGCTATGAGATAATTCTATGATTTACGGGACTAAGATGTTGCCAGACTGAACACTGAATAATTTCATTCAACTCCTGGGTTGATGTGGCACTCTACCATATAGCATTCAGCTCTCAGATCCACCCATTTCTGCTCAAACACAGCACAGCTCGTGCCTCAATACAGAGGGTATGGAGGAAAAGGCAGTCAGTCAGTGTCTAAAAATGGCGCATGCAAGAGACGCTCGGGGAAGATGTAGCTGGACCTCTCAGGTAAGAACAACTATTGGTGTACTATGAGGGTCTTTAAGACAATGACACTAGATTTGGGAGTGGGATGGTAAAGTCTGAGTTTGGTAACACCAGATAAGGATAAATGAGTTTGACTTCTCAGACCCATATCTGGAGCTCTTCAAAACTACCCCCACAAACCTAAGCTGCTTCTCCTCCTCTTTTCCTGCCTTGTCTCCTTCCAAAGCTTTCAGGGCCCTATTGCTGCCCTGACCAGGCCATCCCCTTCCACATGCCATTTTTGTCTCCTCCCCAAAATTATTTTGTTTTTGCCTTGGAAATACCAGCCAAGGGAGTCCTTGGCGGAAGTTTCCCACGATTCTCATGATTAGGAAGACAAGACAGTCATTAGCATGATCTTCCCCTCAGAGGAGTCCTCATCCCAGAAAACAATAACAACTTTCAGGTTGTTATTATTCAAGAACTCTCAGCTGAAAACTCTAGGTTCCATAACAGGTGGGCTAGCATGGAAGTTTTTTTTTGTTTTTTTGTTTTTTTTAATGATTTATTGTGAATTATATAGTTTACATGGGAGAACATTAGTTTTACATTCATTCTATCGTATATCGTTTCATTGCCATGGTTACAATCCCTTCCATGCATCATCAACCAACCAAAGGGTATACCCTGCAAGCCTGCCCCCTACACTCCCCCCCTCCCGCCAGTCTTCAGCACACAGTCCCTCTCCCTCTCTGGATCTAAAGTCTCCAGCTGTTCCATCGCTCCACATTATCCTCTCTGCCTCCATCTCAGCCATCACTGCTTCTCTGGGTAGGGTCCCGCTCTTGGCTCTTCTCCGTTGATGGTCCTAGGGACCTCCGCTCCTAGACTGGAAAGTTAATCACTCCCTTCTTTGCTATAAAACGTCTACCTTTACATTTACAACCCTCACAATCAGTCCTGATAACAATTATTCACTATTGTATCACAAGAGACCCATCTGCATCTCCTTTCATCAGCCCCACCCAGACAGATTGGATACTACTCAGTGGAGATTCTACCTTCTTCTGCGCCCTCTGGATCTAGGTTCCATCTTGAAAGCTTGTAAGCCAGTCACTTCTTGCCTTTCGGGTAGCCAATGTCCAAGTTGCCCATCCCTGTCTACTCCATGTGTGGAGGGGGTGGGAATGATTCTTAGCATGGAAGTTTTGAGTGGGTCTGGTGCCCCTCTGGTCCCACTGATGATTTCCAGTTGTGCTCAGCCTGTCATTAGTCAAACCACAGAGACCTCACCTGTCCATTAACAGAACAGGCATTGGCCCTGCTTAGCCTGAGTCTCTTAGGACATTTATAGTGGAAGAAACCCTCTGCTAGCCTCATCGCCCCAACACCCACATAGCTTGGAAAGGAGGTGCCACCTCTTCAGGGACATTTGAAAGTGTGGGGAACGGTGTTGGTTTGATTGTGGTGACTGGGAGTCACTTAACGGGTGGTGACTACACATGCTAAGGAGCCTTGGTGACCCAGTGGTTAAGCACTCAGCAGCAGTTTTGAACCCACTAGCCACTATGTAATCTTCTATAAAGAGTTGTTGTTGTTGGAGTTAGGTGCCGTTGAGTCAGTTCCAACTCATAGCGATCCCATGCACAACAGGATGAAACACTGCTCAGTCCTGTGCCATCCACACAATTGTTATGCTTGAACCCATTGCTGCTGTCACTGTGCCAAGCTTCCATGAAGAGTACAGCCTTGCGAATCCTGTGGGGCAATTCTACTCTGTCCTTTAGGGTCTATCTACATGCATCTGAATCAGTGCCACGGCAATGGGTATGGACTACACATGGTAAATATACTGCAACACATAGGACGAAACCACACAAAACAGAAGTACCCAACATATCGGTATCACCTTCTCACCCTTAAGAAGCATGCTGAGAGTTTTTCCTTACTAGCTTTCTCTCATCAAAGTTTGTCTATTCTCTGTCCCATTTAAGGTGTCTACTCTTGCTAAGTGGAGTCCTGGTGTGGCACTGTAGGATAAACACACAACCTCAAGGTCAATTTGAACTGCAAGGGCGGCGGTTCCAACTCACCAGCCACTCCTCAGAAACCCTATACAGGGTCTCTATGAGTTGAAACCAAGTCGATGGCACTTAATAACAACAACAACTCTTGTTAAATCTGATCAGGTTTTAGGGACTGGTGATAACTTATTTCATTCACTTATAAAGACATTCTGGAACTCCTTAGGCCAAATGGTAGGCTGATAAAGAGAGTGATTTGCAGATAGGAGAGTCTTCGTTTTACTATTCTATTCCTTCACGTGCAATCCCAACCCCTCTAGTTCAATCCAGAGAAAATTCTGGAATTAAGACCACTGCCACCCTGCAAGCCCTCTTCCCTACCAGTCACTAAATACACAGCTAGCCCCTGAAGAGTGACACAGGAAAGCAAGAAGCTAGAAGGGAAAGAATGAATGGTGTTCTGTGGACTTCCATGCCTTTCACATTCCCCAAAGGAACCTAGAAACGCAATGCTAGAGGCTAAAGGCACTTTAGTAACTCCAACTCAGACTCAAACAGAAAGCAGACTGAAGTTTTTCCATCTTTGTCTATACTCCGACTTTCTAGTTAGAGCGCAGTGCCACAAAACCCAGGAAAGATCTTTCAGGGCCAATCTGGCTCCCAGCTGCATGGCCTCATGTGAATTAGAGTTTGGCACAGTACAAAGGAGAAGGCTGCTATGCAAAGAACCAAGTGGCCTGCAACTGCAGCTGGCAAACATTGAGGGCATCAAGTGGTGAACTCATGCAACATGGAAAACATCATGCCAATTGGCAGGAGAAGCGTCTGGCTCTGTGGGGAATGGAATGGTTTCAAAGGAGGAAGGTTGCCTGAGGAATCATGTCCCTCCCGTAAGGCAGGAATATAAATTGAATCTTAATGTATTCTATGGGAATCAGGTCTGGATTCTAGGAATGACTATTAATCTCGTGTATAAACTTGCAAAAACCATTTCCTTTATTGGGATCTGGGGCCTTTCCTGTAATAGAAGAGCATGAATCTGAGGTTGCAAACTGATTTCCTCTGGACCAGATTTGACCAGTGGATGTGTTTGGGTTGGTCAACCCAGTATTTTGTTTATTTGTCTGAACACTTTGAATGCCTTGTTCATACGGTCCCTACCCACCAACCTCTCTCAGCCCCTTTCCATATTTCCAATATCCATTTGGCTCCTGAAGACTCTTTAACCTTAGAAACCATGTACTAAGTGATTTCTAATGAGGTCTTATAACAAATGTACTATTAAGACTCCATACATCAATCTCTAATATCACCAAAGGGGCAGATGAAGAGGATCCTGGGGGAAGTAAGGCAGTCTGCCATAGAAGGGAAAGTGGGTAAAAAATTAACAAGGACTAATTAAGGGATTCTAAGGAGCAGCTGGTGAACTTGAACCGCCGACCTTGCAGTTCAAACGGCTTTGCAGTCTGGCACATTGACCCACAGCGCCACACCAGTGTGGCTCCTTAGAAACCCTATACAGGGTCACTATGGGTCAGAACTGACTTGATGGCACTTCACAACAACAACAGTTAAGGGAACACTTGGATGGATTTTCTTAAAGTAGGACCTTACCCCACCAAAGGATGTAGCCTGTTGGACATTTCTGACTTTTCCTGACCCACAATTGCTTTGATCACTAAATTGACAATATTCGTTCTTTGAAAAGGATCCTAGGCTTGGCCTTTGCTATTGTTCTGCTTTGATTTTTTAAAGGAATTATTCTTCTGTGGAAAATGGAACCAAGTTGCAGGTCTTCTTGTGTGATTAGATAAGCAGTTTCAGGGAATATTTCCATTTAATTTGTTGTTGTTTTCTTTGCAAGGAAAGTGTGACAGTGTGAATTTCCCCTAACAGAAAACTGCTCCATCTATGTGTATGACCTCTAGCTAGCCATGGGAACTTTCCTTTTTACACAGCACCCCAACACCAAGGCTGGTCCCTTTTATGTCTCCAATGTCATTCTTCCTCACCCCCATTCCTCTCTCTGCCTGGTGTTACTTGTGAGAGGGCAAAATTTAGCCTCCAGTGTGAAGAGCTAAGGTGATGAAGGTTCTTTTCATAGGTTAGTTACAGGTCCAGAGCCTCTTTCCTTATTTGCTCTTTTGATTCATGCTCAACTATAAGACATTCCCAGTGACCTCATCCCATGCCCTAGTCTGAGCCTAGAACACACTCTGTCGGACCCCATATCTGCGGAAACAAGGACCTTGGGTTCTCTGGGAATTACTATGGGCTTTTGGCAGTACAGGGTATTGTGTGTTATTGTGATGTTTTCAAGCATTAACATATGTTGAGCTGCCCTCTCCTTAGTCTTACTGAGAGCAAGGAAAGTGGCCAAATGTTTAGGTTTGAAAGGGTTTTTCATATGGACGTTAGTCTGTGTTCCTGGTAAGAGTCAACAGAACCTCAGGTTTTCTCTTAGGAAGTAAATAAGCACTGTACTGGGTTGTGAAATTGAACACTGGATTTGGTGGGTGTCAACTCGTATGAAGGTGATAGGTTTTTAAGTTAATAATATGTTTTCAGGTTAGTTAAGTTAAACAAGATCCCTACAGGGCAAAAGTTTGCGGTTTCAAGATGTGAATAGATGAATTCTAAATGACTACCTTAGGGTAGGAAAAAGAGCAAATTGATGTTAGAAAAAGCAGAGGAAGGAAACAAGTTGTTTTCTCTTTACATACACTTTTTTTTCTTTGAGTTTTCCCCTTAAAATTGACCTTTCTGCCTTACTTTAAAAATAGATTGTCTTACTGCGTAAAGGAGTAAGTAATTCATGTAGACTTTGGTTTTCTGATGGCCTTTCCTCTTGATCTGTTGAGGGAAGAAACCGTGGACACATCCAGGAGTTGAGAGAACTGAGTTCTAGAATTGCCCCAACTGTTTATTTTGTGTCTGTTTTTTCTGCCTCTCGGGGCCTCAGTTTCTTCTGTAAAGTAAGATGGTGATTGCCAAGTGCCGTCGAGTTGGTTACAACTCACAGCAACCTTGTATAGGGTTTTCGAGGTGGGTTTGAACCCTTGACCTTATAGTTAGCAGTCCAGTGCTTAGTCTATAGTGCCACACAAGCGGTCCGTTAAAGTAAGGTGAGTGAATGAAAAGAAACTTAAAGTTGCTCTAGTAGGTTTTATGAAAACATGAATTAGATCCACTGGACTCGGGCAATATCAGTTTATTGAATAATAAACAATTATCACTTGAATTCACACATTTATAAGAAACTAATAAAATGTGTGCATAGAATGTGCGTATTATGAAGGGACCTCAAGAGGTATCTAGTTTAGTGATTCCTATGCTTCAATTGTGGCTCTGTAGGTTAGTGCACCAGATTACAAAACTGTTTGAACTGCAAGGTCAGCGGTTCAAGCTCACCAGCCGCTCCTCGGAAACCCTACTACACAGGGTCGCTGTGGGTTGGAACTGACTCGACAGCACTTAACAACAACAACATGCTTCAATTATTCATGAATCATCTTCATGATGTTTTATCATAATTATGTATCACCTTCAGTATTAATTACTTAATGTTCTTTAAGTGGAATATCTTAAGTTAATATTGGCTTTGGGGTTTGTTATCTCAACCAAGACCTGTCTGGGGGGAAAGTTTGTGGTCTCAAATTTACCCTAATCCAGAGGATCTAAGATTTTCATAAAATCTGCCAGAGGGGCCTTGGTCTTTTTCAATCTAAAAATGTTAGTCTCGCTCTTAGCAATAAGAGCCACAGAGTCACAGATTTGATATGCTATGTGTTTCTTAATGCACATTAGGCTTGAATATTTTTCATTTGTTGTTGTTGTTGGGTGACATTGGGTCAGTTCTGGCTCATAGACACCCTACGAACAGCAGAATCCTTAAAAATCCATTTGTGTATTTCTACTTCTGGATGCATATTCATACTTTGTAGAACACTGACTCTGGTTGCTCACTTTCAGATAGGGAAACCAAAGGTTGTAGAGATTAAATAACTTGTTTCTTGTGACAAGGCAGGTTGCTATGGAGACATGACTAGAGGCTCTTTCCCCTGAGTGTGTCACAGTTTGTCCGAGGCCGGGTTGTGGCTAAAACCCAGATCATCTCACTCCTAGGTCAGGGCTCTTTCCTTCACACCATGCTTCCCCCAGTTGCTATTAGGATCTAAATATTCATGTTCTTTAATATAGATGGGATGGAGCTCTGGTAGCGTAGTGATTACGAATCGGGCTGCAAACCTTAAGGCCAGCAGTTCGAAACTACCAGCCGCTCCGCGGGAGAAAGACGAGGCTTACTGCTCCCGTAAAGATTTACAGCCTCGGAAACCCTGTACAGGGTCGCTATGGGTCGGAACCGACTCGACGGCACTTAACAACAACAACAACAACAATATAGATGGGACTAGAATTCAGATCTTTCGTAAGCCTAGTGAATCAAAATAATAATACATTAATTCATATGGCTTTGGTTAAATCATTTAATCTTGCTGGGTCTGAGTTTTCTGAATCCTGCCACATGGGGAGAAAAATAGGTACCACTGATTAGCCTTTATTGTTGTTGTTGTTAAGTGCCGTTGAGTCAGTTCTAACCCATAGCAACCCTGTATAGAGTTTCTGAGAAGCAGCTGGTGAGCCTGAACCACCGACCTTGCAATTCAAAGCAACTTTGCAGTCTAGCACATTAACACACAACGCCACACCAGGACTCCTGGTATGATGCTGTAGGATAAACACTGGACTGCTTACCACAAGGTCGGCACTTCAAACCCACCAGTCACTCTCGGAAACCCTCTACAATATCACTATGAGTCGGAACCGACTCGGCAGCACTTAATAACAATAATGTGGTGCAAATGGCTGCTAACCTAAAGATTGAAGGTTTGAGGCCACCCAGAGGCACCTCAGAAAAAAAATGTCAGCCAATCTACTTCTGAAAAAGAAGCCATCAAAATCTGATGAAGTAGAGTTCTGCTCTGACACACATAGGACCACTGTGGGTTGGAATCGACTATCACAACTGGCTCGCTCTTTTTCCTTTTCTGACTGAATTTCTTTATTTAATCCTCACACCACAACTGTAAGCAGATGCAACCAGATGATTAGTCAAGGACCTGTGCCCTGGTGGCAATGTGGATTAGGGATTAGGCTGATAATCTCAAGGTTGGTGGTTCAAATCTACCAGCCGCTCCTTGGTAAGAAAGACGAGGCTATCTACTCCTATAATATTTACAGTCTTGGAAAACCCATACAGGGTCGCTTTGAGTCAGAATAGACTCAACGGCATTGGGTTTGGTTTTCGTTTGGGTTCTTCTCTTAAATGTTACTCTTCTAACAAATAGAATGCTTATCCAAAGAAATATGTGTACGTGAAAAGAGAGTAAACAGTCTCATTTTCAGGGAAACTAGATAGAGTTTTCATATAGTCCCACTGGCTAAGCTCATCAATCTCAAATCAAGAAACGCTTACAACATAGTAAAGAAAGAGGGAGGGGCTGTGAGTTTCCCATTGGCCATTTGTGTCTTATACAATGAGTTTCCTCCAGAGAAATTCATCAGGTGAGCATCTTGGTCTCCGAGTCCAAGGTTAGCAGCTGAATCTAGTTGAATCCAGTCTGGTCATCTGTAAGACAGGCATATCCATCCTGCTTCATGACATCAGCTGCTCTGAGGGGAAAATGAGGTAATGACCATGAACGGACATAAGAAAACGAAAGGGTCCCTCTGAATTGAGAAATATTTGCTACAGGGACCTACGTTCAGTATGGGTGGGGAGATGCTTCTGTTTATTTAAAAAAAAAAAAAAGCAAAATTGGATAGAAGGCGAGTTTCCTAGCTCTAAGCATTCTCAAATTCTCAAATTCTCACTTTAGTGATTATGCTGAATTTTGTTAAGAGGCCTACCTTGTTCAGCCTCATAAAAGATTTAGAAAACAAAAATGCAATGACTGAAATTAATTTTAATTACCCCCCCCCCCAATCTCATTTCATGCAACTGTCTTGTTATTTTTTTCTGCCCTAGATTTACTACTCTGAAGGCGGGCAAGCTGAAGCCATTGGGCAATTTAAAGGTCGAATTGTAGGGTCCTCTGAACCAGGTAATGCGTCTATCACCATTTCTAATATGCAGCCAGCAGATGCCGGACTTTACATCTGTGATGTGAACAATCCCCCAGACTTTGCTGGCAAAAACCAAGGCATCCTCAACGTCAGTGTGTTAGGTATGAACACTTATTTTTTCTGTCTTTTCTCTGCTTGGAGCAACTTAGGACATTGAATAAACCAGAACAGTGAATTATGGTGCAAATTCAGTACCTGGGTTAAATCTCTTCCCTGCTCCTTTTACTATCAGGGAAATAGGAACATACCCCAATTCCAATCTATTCCCAAATGCTGCGAAATCACTCATAAAACACATCGAAACAATTGCCGAACCAAAAGGGCTGTGAAAGTAGCAGACAGTAGCACATGACCAGGGCTCCCGGGATCCCTATCTCTGAAGGAAGGAATTAGAGTATATGGGAAAACCCATAATCTCGCGAAATAAGGAGCCATTCTTTCAGAAGAAACTTCCATTTCGCGATGGAGAAAGGAGCTCTGGTAGCATAGCGGTTAAGAATTGGGCTGCGACCCTTAAGGTCAGCAGTTTGAAACTACCAGCCGCTCCGTAGGAGAAAGATGAGGCTTTGTGCTGTATGGGTCGGAACCGACTCGGCGTCACTTAACAATAACAACTACCTAGGAGAAAACTGTCAACTTAGTGTAACTTAAGGTATAAAATCTATCCCAAAGACCTTCATCTATTTCACCCCAATCTACCCTTCACCAAATGCCTCTCCTAAGCCTGGTGGGGTGCTCTAGGATAACTATTGTACTGCTAACGTCAAGGTCAATGGTTCAAACCCACCTTGGAAACCCTTGAAAACCCTATACAGGGTCGCTATGAGTTGGAAGCCATTTGATGGTACTTAACAACAACAACAAGCCTGCCACAATTCTTACCATTAAATTATTCTTTTGAATGAAATCAGGAGGCACCTATTTTTTTTTTTTTTAAATGCTAAGGCTGTTTGGAAAAGGTGTTGAAAATCTATTTTATGTAAATATGCAATATGTGACCTTGAGTAAGTCATTTATCTTTGTTGTTAAGTGCCTTCGAATCATTTCCAACGCATGGTGGTGGTGGTTATGTGCCGTGGAGTCGGTTCCAATTCATAGCAACCCTATACAGGGTTCCCGAGGCTGTAAATCTTTCTAGGAGCAGAAAGCCTCATCTTTCTCCCACGGAACGGCTGGTAGTTTCGAACTGCTGGCCTTGAGGTTAGCAGCCTGACTCATAACCACTACTCTACCAAAGTTTCTTCAGACTCATAGCGACCCTGTATGGGGTTTACAAGGAGCGGCTGGTGAGCCTGAACCACCGACCTTGCAGTTCCAACCGACCTTGCAGTCCAGTGCCACACTAGGACTCACCCCTCTCTTAAAATGAATTTGGAGTAGTTCATGTATTCAACTGATATTTATTACTTTGTGCCAGGAGGTATGAGGTTTAGTGATGGAGAGTTAGGGTTTCTGCCCTCAGGGAACTTACAATTTCAGCCATTTTCAGGATTCCTGCCAATCTCTGCTGTGAGAGATGAATGGAAGCTGAGCTTCTGTCTGCAAAAAACACTAAAGGGATGCATTAAAGAGCTGTCAACCCTTAGCAACTAACCAACTCAGCTAAGAGTTCCCCACTTCTAAACCAAAGCAGTTGCCGTTAGAGTCGATTCCAACACATGGAAACTCCATGTGTTGTTGAAATGCACTCCATAGAGTTCTTAAAGGGGGGGTGGGGGGACAAACAAAAACGTCGAGAAGCAGATTGGCCTTTCTTCAGAATCTCCTTTGGGAGGGTTTGAACCGCCAACCATTCAATTAGCAATCGAGTGTTTAACTGCTTGTACCACTCAGAAACTCCTGACCAGGGACTCCCACTTCTAAATAACCCAAAATGGAGCTGATCTACTCGTTGTTCTTCTAGAGTAGTGTGTACACATCACAGGAAAGGAGGAACTATATCAAAACAGCAACTTGCAAAAGCAGCAACTGGTAGCAAGGTACACACCTAGGAGGACTGTCCAGAGTTGTCTTGGCTACTGCCCAGGAGAGACCAAAAATGAACCAGCTGACATTTACTATGCGGTCTTTCACTGCATTTACCAACCTGAAAAAGAGGGGAAGGTACTCAAAAGTTAACTTTTCAGAATGAAGGGAGTTCAGTCATATTTTTATTTTAATGATCTCTGTGCTAAGTGTTGGGGTACAAGGGAAGACAAGAGAAATATATGCAAGCCCTTTTTGAGACAAAAAGGAACCCTAGTGAAGTTGTGGGCTACGCTGCTAACCGAGGTCTGTGGTTGAAACCCACCAGCGCCTCTTTGGGAGAAAGATGTTGCTCCTGTAAAGATTTACAACCTTGAAAAATGCATAGCCATGGGTTTCTTAGAGGAGTTTATGTTCCAGTTGAGAAGACTAGTCATCTACATAGGAACTAAATGGTGTAGTATAAAGCCAAAGTGCCAAGCTGGAGTTGGAAGACCTGGGATCTAGCGCTTGGTCTACTACCTTAAGCAATTCAGTCCACCATTCTTTGGTCATTGTGAGATGAGGTTGTAATTCCGGCCCTGTCTTATTTATAGGTTTGTTATGAGGATTAAATGTAATACCAGAAATGAAAGGGTTTTTTAATGTTTAAAGAAATTAAGGTATAATGCTTTCCTGACTCTGGAAGGTTGTTCTAACCAGGAACCACCTAAATAGGCCAACCTTCTTTATCTCGGGGCTTGGAATTAGGCTTGAGATAGTTAGACAAGCAGGCTAATGTTCTTAAATGTACAGTTCAGAGGATCCCAAATCAACTTCTGTAAGAAGTTGAAGGTCAATTCCTGTCATAGCTATTTTTTCCCATGAGTCTTTGGTCCAAGTTGTTACTGCTATGGCTGTGGCATGGCTTTTCCTTCAGCATCCAAGAGTCAGACAAGGTAAGAGGCCGAAAGGGCCTGTGGATTTCGTTTTGTCTGAGAGCTCTCAAAAGGTCTATTTTTGTTCATTGGACTAGGAACAAAGACATTCTACAAATGTAGGTTTTCCTGGAAAGTTTGAGATGGATAATTTTGTCTAAAACTGGCAGGGTTGGTTTGTAGTTCTCAAACCCCATTGCTCATGAGGGCTTATTTCTGTTTGCCCTAGTGGGGGGGGGGGGGGGGGAAGGTGTTGACAGTTCCTTAAAGATGAGTCTTCTGAGCAATGTATCTTTCAGAGCGACTAGTGAAAACTGATCCCATGCATTCATGTGTTCACCCATGGATTCATTTAACAAACCCTGAACACATTCATTCAACAAACCCTGAATACGTGTACTAGATATTGTGCTAGACAATCAAGATGTGGTCAGTGGCGGAGGCAGCTATAAAACGTGACAGCTTACGGTACAGGAGACCTATAAGAGCATAGGGAACAGCTGTCCAAGGGGAACTAGACAATACTAAGGAGGAGGTGACTTTTTGTCCTGAACGTTGCAAGATGTGCACGACTGTATCAGAAGAAGGGAGGCTGAGGTGGCAGGGCAATGAACAAAAGACCAGGTGGTTTGGACGACCATTCATTGGTGAAATTTCCATTAGGTATGGCCACCTTGGAAAATGAATCTCTGAAAATTACCAAGAGAGAAGTTTGGATCATTTTTTGTGTGTGCCTTTGCGATGAGCATTGCCTTCCTTCTGCAGTCTGGCACACAAAAAGGAAAAAAAGATTGATTTACGAGAAGCTTTGAGAACACACTAAAGCATTTTCATTTGTTTTCTGAGGCAAGTCTTTACCTGCTGCCTCAATTCTGTTGAAAGCAATAAAGCTAAATTGTAGATCAATGGCTTTGCCAGTAATAACATCCAAGGTCTACGAGGAATCTTAACTGGATGAAATGTCAATTCAATCCTGACTCAGTGGTTTAAGAAAATATATAGGTTTGGGATGAGGTTCAAAGTGATTCCCTAAGTGTTTTGTTGATAAAAAAGAAAAAGAAAATGGAAAAAAAAATGTGTTCAGTAGAAAAATAACCTACTTGGTTTGATTCTGAACTCAGAAACAAGTGCAAGTCATTCCAGGTTTTTGTGCATAGTTTAGGTCAAGTCCTAGTGTCTGACTTTATGATGAGACAGCCTCATTTTGTTTTCTGTTCACATTGGTGTCTTTTGCTGTAAAAGCTATAAAATCTCTAATTTAGAGTCAGCAAATCTAACAAGTTGCTGCCATCTGACAAAATCAATGGTAAGGAACAGAAAATAGAGAGCTGATGGGCGGGAGGAGGGGAAAATTCTTCTGTTAATTGAAAGATGCCTATTTAAAAGACAGGGATCGTAACTATTTCCATGAAAGCTACAGCTATATTCATCTTTCTCCTCACTTATGTGTACAGGGTCTGAGCTAGTTGAGTAAAGCAGAAATCAATGGAAGATTAACTTCGGTTGGAGCTATAAAATGTGGCAGTGGGTATTAGTCCTTCTTACCGACAGCTAACGACAATTTCACATCCAAGGCATTGTACAAATCATTTAATGTTTGGATCAGCTGGAAGTTAGAGAAACTCTGTTCACATTTCATAAACTCATCTTAACTGAGGCTTTGTTAAGCTTGCTAACTTGCCTAATGCTGTTGTTGTTGTTGTTAAGTGCCGTTGAGTGGATTCCGACCCATAGCAACCCTGTACAGGGTTTCCAAGGAGCAGCTGGTGAACTTGAACCACCAACCTAGCAGTTCAAACAGTCTGACCATTTGCGCACAGCGCCACAAGCTAGGGTTAAAGTTGCAGAGCCAGTGTTCTGCGTGGACCCACGTTTGTGCTCTTAACTGCTGCATTTCAAAAGCTGGGGAGCTGAGCAGTAGTCAGTTAGGAGGCATTTAAGCAGAAGTTAGAGAGCCTAAGCCTTGGGAGGGTTTTAAATCTAAGTTCAGATAAGGACTTGGAAAGTGTAGAAATTCAGATCATTATCTGAAGCTGTGAAAGTAAGCTGAGTGAGGAGATTCCAATCCCCAACTTCTTACACGACTTCTCCATAAGCAACAAGTTGTGTGCCACGGAGTCTATTCTGACGCATAGCAACCCTCGTTGGCAGAGTCGAGTTGCCTTTAAGGGGGTAGATGGCCAGGTCTGTTTTTTTACAGAACCAAGAGTGGCTTTGAACTGCCGACCTTTTCTGTTAGCAGATGAGGGCTTAACCATTGTGTTGACCAGGTTCAACCTTTTTCTAAAGGCACTTTTCCTTTATGAGTGATTAAAAAAAAAAACAAAACAAAAAAACATTCATTTATCTGTGGGTGACATAAAACTACTAGAAGGTTTAAATTTGCCTATGCCCCTTATTGATAGGGAAAGCCCATTGTGGGAGGAGTGTGCTAGACAGTCCTGAAATCTTGACTCATTCATTGATCAGAAGGCACTCGAAGATACAACATCTGCTGCTCTTCAGCCTCATTACTGAATTTCTATACTTTCCAAGTCCTTATCTGAACTTAGATTTAAAACCCTACTTCAGAACTGAGTTAAAGCAAACTTTTAGATTTCTGGCACCCAGTCTAGTGCCAGAGCCCAGGTGGTACACTGGTTTAAACACTTGGCTGCTAACGGAAGAGTCGCTGAGTTTGAACCCACCAAGTTACTTCCCAGGAGGAAGAAGCTTCATTAAAGATTTACAGCCTTGGTAAAACAGGCTCTTTTAAATGGAGGAAAAAGTTAATAGAATATAGGGTAACCTCACAGAAAATAAATACTTCACAACATATCAAGAAAATGAAAATCCAAGAAAAACAGGGAAACATTGAAACTATGAAGAAACTGACAAGAAAGAGGACCAAAAAAGTGAACTCAGCACAGGAAGGCATGCATAACAAAGAAACCACAGCCCCACAAAAAACAAGCATAATGACAGCAATTAATTCATAAAGAGCTCTGGTAGCACAGTGGTTACGAATCAGGCTGCGAAACGCAAGGTCAGCAGTTCGAAACTACCAGCTGCTCCACGGGAGAAGCATGAGGCTTTATGCTCCCATAAAGATTTACAACCCTGTTCAGGGTCGCTATGGGTCGGAACCGACTCAGAGACACTTAACAACAACAACATCAGTAATTATTCTGAATGTCAATGGATGAAATGCACCAGTCAAGAGACAGAGAGTGGCACAATGGATAAGAAAGCAAGATCCTTCAATATGCTGTCTGCAAGAGACACACCTTACACACAAAGACAAAAGCAGATGAAAAGTTAAAGGATGGAAAAAATATAACAAGCTAATTGTAAGTAAAATAACGAGCAGGAGTGGCAATACTAATCTCTGATAAAATAAACTTTAAGGCAAAAACCAGCATAAACGATAAAGAAAGACACTATCTCATGATTAAAGGGTTAATTGAACAAGATGACATAACCATAATAAATATCTACACTCCCAATGAAAGAGCCCCAAAATACATAAAGCAAACCCTAGTAGAATTAGAGAAAGAAATAGACAATTCTACAATAATAGTGGGAGATTTTAAAGATTTACAGCCTTAGAAATCTTATGGGGCGGGTCTACTTTGTCCTATAAGGACTCCATTAGCCAGCGACTTTTTTATTTAGTCCCATGTGTGACACATAGAAGGCACTCAGTAAATGCTCATTGAATGAAGAATGAATAAAAATTTCAGCACTGTCTAGCACACCCCCACCCCCAGTGGGCTTTTCCTATCAGTAAGGGACATAGGTAAATTCAAACCTTCCAGTGGTTTTATATCACCCACAGATAAATGAATGCTTTAAAAATATTACTCATAAAGGAAAAAAAAAAAAAAAAAGGAAAGCATTAAAAGAACATTTTCAAAAATAGAATGAGTCCTCTCCAGGTATAAAAGGTTCTGGCTTCCTGTAAAACTGTGCTTTAAAAGTATAAACTATGTTCATAGTCATTTGGTGCTTGCTTACATTTGGCTGTTTTAATAAAAGCATACTATACTGTAAGCTACAAAAAAAAAAAATTCCTGGCTAGGAACCTGGAGAGGAGGCTGACTGAGGAAACACTCTTTGCATCTTAAATGGCTTTGTGACTAGGGGATTCTGATTCTTGAAGTGCTTGACTGCCCCCTGCTGGTTTAACCAGCAAATTGTCAAAGTAAATTTTTAAAGAGTTTAAACCACCATTCTGCAAACAAAGTGAGGAAGTGACTGCAACTGTTGCTGACTGTCATTCACCCTACAAGGTTGTCACTCTTTGTCATTGCCTTACAGTCAAACCTTCTAAGCCCTTGTGTAGCATTCAAGGACTACCAGAGACCGGTCACCCTGTTTCTCTCTCTTGCCTCTCATTGATTGGAACACCTACCCCTATGTACTACTGGTATAAACTGGAGGGGAAAGATACCATTCCAGTGAAAGAAAACTTCAGTAAGTAAAACCTTCAGCAGCCCCATGACCAATCTTCTGGTTTTCTTGGGATGGCATAAAAAGTGTGTCTTCCACTAATTGTGATCTAATCTCCTTCCAACTTCTAGCAGGTAGATTGTTTGGGGTTCAGAGGTGGTATGGGTATGGAGGAAACAGATAAGGGGCCTAATTGGAGCCTGGGTTTCTCAAGACTTGTGAGGACAAGGTGGGGAAGTGAGTAGGCACGGAATGATCTGCACTCAAATAAGAGATTTGAAGCCTGTTTCCTGCTTTAACAGACCCAGCTACCGGAACTTTGGTTATTGGAAATCTTACACATTTTGGACAAGGTTATTACCAATGCACAGCTATCAACAACCTTGGCAATAATTCCTGCGAAATTGATCTAACGGTTCCACGTGAGTTGATTATACAACTTTAATTGTTTCTTCTCAAGTCGTTTCCTGTGAGCGAGGAACTCTGGTTAGTCCTTCCTGCCCCTCTGGAAATTTGGTTGACAAGATGACTGAGCACCCGCATAATCTCTCATATGGACTTCACACTGTCCGATATTCGCTATAAAAATTTTGTTCACTTAAGCCTCACAAAGATCTCTAGAAGGTGCTGACTGGAATTCTTTCCATTCAATCCCCACAACCACTCTGTTGTTGTGAACTACCGTCCAGTTGGTTCCAACTAACATCCACCCTGTATAGGGCTTCCAAGGAGCGGCTGGTGAGCTTGAAGAGCCAACCTCGCAGTCAAACCCACCTTGTGGTTAAGCGCTTTTCCTACAATCACACTTGTTGTAAAGTGCTGTCGAGTCAATTCCAACCCGTAATGACCCTGTGTAGGATTTCCCAGGAGCAGCTGGTGAACTGGAACCATCGATCTTGTGGTTCAAACTAACTTTGCAGTCCAGCACATTAACCCACAGCACCATCCCAGGACTCCATACAACCACACATGTTGTTGTTGTTAAGTGCCATTGAGTCAATTCTGACCCATAGTGACCCTGTACAGGGTTTCCAAGGAGCAACTGGTGAGCTTGAACCACCGACCTTGCAGTTCAAACGACTTTGCAGTCTGATGCATTAGCCCACAGCGCTACACCAGGACTCCACACTAGGAGGTAGAATATACTGTTATTCTCATTTGACCATGAAAATGGAATCTTGTCCTGTGTCATTCAGTTGATAACTGGCAGAGCCTGGATGCCTCGAAGCCTCCATTTTCCTGTTGAAAGGTGCTTAATTACTCCGAAGTCCCTGATGGGCAAATGGTTACTCACTCAACTACTAACTAAAGACTTGGCAGTTTGAACCTGCCCAGAGGTATCTCAGAAGAAAGGCCTGGTGATCTTCCAAAGGTCATAGCCTTGAGAACCCTATGGAACACAGGTCTTAGGATCTTGCCATCTATTCATCCTACTTACTTTGAATCTGGGGTTTTACTATCCAGGAGGGGCAATTCCATTGGACTATTGCTGTTGCATGATGTCAGATTGCTAAAGTTTCAACTCCCAGAGTACCAAGTCAGTAGAAAATGTCTCACACTGAAAATGGCAAGACATAGCATAACACGCATAATACTTAGAAATATGGAGGCAAGTGCCAGAAGATACCGCTAAGAGAGTTAAAGGTGGTTGGTTGCCTCTCATGAATGGGACACACAGTTGGAAAGCGGTGGGACAGGGCATTGCTGTTTATTGGTTGTGTTTTTGGGTTTTTTTTGTTAGTTCATAAACCTATTAAAATGATTTAATTTAAAACTTATTCATAGGTTCCTTAGTTGTTGTTGTTAGGTGCCATCGAGTTGGTACCAATTCATAGCGACCCAATGCACAACAGAACAAAACGCTGCCCGATCCTGGGCCAATCTAAAATTGTTGCCACGCTTGAGCCCATTGATGCTGCCACTTTGCCAATCCATCTCGCTGGGGGTCTTCCTCTTTTTCTCTGACCCTCCACCTTACCAAACATGATATCCTTCTCCAGTGACTGATCCCTCCTGACAATATGTCCGAAGTATGAGAAATGAAGTTTGGCCATCCTGGCCTCCAAGGAGCACTCTGGTTGCACTTCTTCCAATACAGATCTGTTGGTTCTTTTGTCAGCCCAAGACACTTTTCAATATTCTCCTTCAATACCATAACTCAAAAGCATTAATTCTTCTACGGTCTTCCTTATTCACTGTCCAGCTTTCGTATGCATATGAGGTTATTGAAAACACCATAGCTTGGACCAGGCGCACCTTAGTCCTCAAGCTGACATCTTTGCTCTTCAACACTTTAAAAAGGTCTTGTGCAGCAGATTCGCCTAATGCAATACATTGTTTGATTTCTTGACTGCTGCTTCCATGAGTGTTGATAGTTGATCCAAGAAGAATGAAGTCCTTTACAACTTCAATCATTTCTCCATTGATAAGAATGTTGTTTATTGGTCCAGTGGTGAGGATTTTTGTTTTCTTGATATTGAGATTCAATCCATACTGAAGGCTGTGTTCTTTGATCTTCATCAGTAAGTATTTTAAGTCCTCCTCACTTTCAGCAAGCAAGGTTGTATCATCTGCATATCGCAGGTTGTTAATGAGTCTTCCTCCAATCCTGATGCCACGTTTTTCTTCATAGAACCCAGCTTCTCGGATGATTTGCTCAGCATACAGGTTGAATAAGTATGGGGAAAGATTACAGCCCTGTCATACACCTTTCTTAATTTTAAACCATTCAGTGTCCCCATGTTCTGTTTGAATAACTGCCTCTTGGTCCATGTACAGATTCCTCATGAGCACAATTAAGTGTTCAGGAATACTCATATTTTGCAATGTTGTCCATAGCTTGTCATGATCCACACAATCGAAAGCCTTCGTGTAATCAATAAAGCATAGATAAACATATTTCTGGTATTCTCTGCTTTCAGCCAAGATCCATCAGACATCAGCAATGATATTCCTTGTTCCACATCCTCTTCTGACTCTGGCTTGAACCTCTAGAAGTTCTCTGTCAGTGTATGCTTGAAGCCATTTCTGTATTACCTTTAGTAAAACTTTACTTGCACGGGATTATCAAGGAGATTGTCCAATGATTTCTGCATTCCGTTGGGCACAAATACGGATCTCTTCCAATCAGTCTTCCAAATTTCTTGGCAGAGATGAGTGAGTGCCTCCTGTGGCACCTCACTTTCTTGAAAGATTTCAATTTTTATTCCATCAATTCCTGGTGCCTTGTTCTTTGCCAATTCCTTCAATGCACCTTGGACTTCTTCCTTCAGGATCATTGGCTCTGGATCATATGCTACCTCTTGAAACGGTTGAACATTAACCATTTCCTTTTGGTACAGTGACTCTGTGTATCCCTTCCATCTTCTTTTGATGCTTTCAGCATCGTTCAATAATTTGCCCAAAGAATCCTTCAATAACGAAAGGCGAGGCTTGATTTTTTTTTCTTCAGTTCCCCCATGTTGAGAAATGCTGAGCATGCTCTTCCTTTTTGGTTTTCTGCCTCCAGATCTTTGCACATTTTTGTTGTAATATTTGGCTTTATGTTCTCAAGCTGATCTTTGAAATTTTTTGTTCAGCTCTTGGACCTCCTCATTTCTTCTATTTGCTTTAGCATCTCTACGCTGGAGAGCAAGTTTCAGTGTCTCTTCTGACATCCATTTTGATCTTTTCCTTCTTGCTTGCCTGTATGATGTTCTTGATATCATCCCACAACTCTTCTGGTCTTCGTCTTTAGTGTTTAATGTATCAAATCTGTTCTTCAGATGATCTCTAAATTCAGGTGGGATATATTCAAGGTCATATTTTGGCTCTTGTGGACTCGTTTTCATTTTCTTCAGCTTCCCTTTGAATTTTCATATGAGCAATTGATGGTCTATTCGACAATCTGACCTTGGCCTTGTTTTGGTTGATGATATGGAACTTTTCTATCATCTTTTTCCACAGATGTAGCCAATTTGATTTCTGTGTATTCCATCTGGTGACATCCATGTGTATAGTCGTCTCTTATGCTGTCTAAAGAAGGTATTTGAAATGAGCAAATCATTGATTTTGCAGAATCCTATCATGTTCTTTCAGTCAAGAAAATTAAAGGAATTAGCAGACAACTTAACTAGACTTTGTTTCAAAATATAAGAAGGCTGCCCTTGCTTGAGAGGAGGAAGGAGGAGATGGGTCTTCTCAAGGATAGCACTTGGGTGCTTGAAGGTCTAGGGTTCATCTGGGTTGTCTTGTACTCATTAATACATGGCGTTACATAAATATTACATTTTATTTATATTTGTCAACCACTCCCTCCCCCAGGAGGTATTTTCTTAAGTGCCATTACGCTAATTTTTTTTGAGATGTTGTTTATTGAAATGGGAAGAAACCTTTTCAGTGGCCCACTTGGTGAATTCCTTGAGCATGGAATCTGGGGGTATTGGAAGGGAGAGGCTTGTAAAGACCTGGAGTCCTGGTGTGGCGCTGTAGGATCAACATTGGTGGTTCAAACTCATCAGCCGCTCCTCAGAAACCCTAAACAGGGTCACTGTGAGTTGAACCCCACTTGATGACACTTAACATTTCATTTATGCTCTATGAAAGCTTGGTGAAATGCCCTTGCCTATGTGTGGTGCTGTGGGCTAATGCATCAGACTGCAAAGTCGTTTGAGCTGCAAGGTTGGTGGTTCAAGCTCACCGGCTGCTCCTTGGAAACCCTATACATGGTCGCTATGGGTCGGAATCGAACTCGGTGGCACTTCACAACAACATGTGTAGGATAAGCACTAGACTGTTAACTGCAAGGTTGGTGGTTCAAGTCTATCAGCTGCTCCTTGGAAACCCTATATAGGGATGCTATGAGTTGGAACCGACTCAATGGCACTTAACAACAACAACATCATAACAGAAGCCATTGTATTTCTATTTATATGTGCAAAAGACAGAAGTCCTGGTGTGGCACTGGGGGCTGATGCGCCACACTGCAAAGCCGTTTGAACTACAAGGTCGGTGGTTCAAGCTCACCAGCTGCTCCTCAGAAAGCCTATCCAGGGTCGCTATGGGTTGGAACTGACTCGACGGCACTTCACAACAATCATCAAGACAGTCATCTTTCTTCTCCCACTCTGAGTCCAACTGGCCTAGTTCTATGAGTTTACACTCTCCCAGCCTATGCAAGTCACTTCCCCACTGTGTAAATGGCCCAAATACTTTCCTGCATATGCATGAAGCAGACAGCATGGTCCACTTTACTAACCAGCTACTTGTATCCTCCATCCAGATCCTGAAGTTGGCATCATTGTCGGGGCTGTGGTGGGTAGCTTGGCATGCGCTGCTATTATCATCTCTGCTGTGTGTTTCGCAAGGAGCAAGGCAAAGGCAAAGAAGAGAAATTCTAGAACCACTACAGAGTTGGAGTAAGACCTTATTTTGTTGTCTTTCCTTGGGTGTAAACATTTCTTTCAGTCCATTCTTCCTCAGCATTCCTTTTAGCATACGATGTCAGAGAGGCTTTCCCTTGCTTACTCTCACTGCCTTAAGAAAAAGAATGAGGACAACGATCATTAACTGAGTGCCACTTTATGTATACTTAACCCTCACAATCACCCTCTGAGGTAGGTACTGCTTTTAGCCTCATTTTAGAGATGCGGGAATAAGCATTCAAAGAGGTTAAGTGACTTCCCAAGGTCACACAGCGAGTAAGCTGCAGAGCTGACGTTTGATCTGTGGTTGGAGGGAAGAGGAACCATTGGGACAGACATTACTTGTTTGGCAACTCAGAATCAGGTAGGACAGACGGGCTGGCATCTCCCGCACAATGAGCCCTGAGCAATTTGTCATCTTGCTCCTCGGCTAGCAGAGATCTGTGTGGCACGGTTTTTTTCCTTTCTTGTCATGTTATATCTCATCCCCTCAGGGTTCTACCTTCTGCATCCAAAGTAGAAACCACCTAATGGGAAACCAACTAATGTTAGGAATAAAGACGTTAGTGTCAGTAGAAAGAGATAACATTCATTGAGTGCTTGCTCTGTGCTAAGTATTTTGTGTGTATTATCTCATTTAATCATGTTATTAAGGGCTGTGGAGTCAGTTCTGACCCATAGTGGCCTTGTATAGGGTTTCCGAGGAATGGTTAGTGGGGTTGCACCATCGACCTTTTAGTTAGAAGTCATGTGTGGTGCTTATCCTACAGTGCTGTACCAGGACTCCCATTTAATTCTGTGGTTGTTGTTAAGTGCCATCGAGTTGTTTCTGACTCATAGCTACACTGTATAGGGTTTCTAAGGAGCGGCTGGTGAGCTTGAACCGCCAACCTTGCGGTCCATCACACTAACCCCCAACACCACACCAGGACTCTTATTTAATCTTAGGAGTTGGGTATTATCATAGCTGAGGAACCAGAAGCATAAAGAGGTTAACTGAAGTTCACTCATTACCACCCAAACCCAAATCTATGTCCGAGAGCCATATATGTAATCATAATTATACCCGCTCAGGAGCTCTGGTAGCATAGTGGTTATGAGTCGGGTTGCTAACCTCAAGGTCAGCAGTTCGAAACTACCATCTGCTCCTAGGGAGAAAGATGAGGCTTTCTGCTCCTGTAAAGATTTATAGCCTCACAAACACTAAGCAGGGTCAATATGAGTTGGAATTGACTCCATGGCACACCACCACCACTAAACCCCCTCACTTCCTGGGAATTTTGGAGGTGTTGGCTTACTTAGTACTGTATGACTTCGTCCCTTGGTTTTTAGAGTCACCTCTGACTTCTGTTGGGTAACTATGGGCGTGCTGGAGGCGCTGTAGGGACTGCTAAACCACAAGGTCGGCAGTACAAACTCACCAGCAGCTCCATGGGAGAAAGATGAGGCTTTCTACTCCTGTTAAGATTTACAGCCCTGAAAACAGCGTAGCTACGATTCAAATCCAACTTGACAGCATCTAACAACATGCGATCTTGGGCTCATGTGAGTCTGTAGAGATCATTTCTCCTCACATTCCTCAAAGGCACTCGTACTTCCTCAAACTAGACTATGAAAATGAAAGCATTGGGCTAATTTCTGTCCCAGGGACATTATAGGGTCAGAACAGGAAGGGGACTAACCCTTTTGTGTAACACCTTGAAAGTGCCACCTCTTGGACTCAACAGAATTATCATTGAACCAACAAAATCTATCTAGCATTCTTCCTCTGGAAATGGACTGAAGTTAGTGTGGGAATGGGATGAAAGATTATGCTTTTTCTTAAGTTAATAATTGTAACAATAAAAATCCTAATTGTTGACATCTTGCAAGGAAAAGAAAAACAAACAGCACCCTAACCATTAGTGAGCTAATGGGTGAGAGGCAAGCCAAGCTGGGTGAGATGTGTGGGTGGGGTAGCCTCTGAGATACTCCTTTGTCCCATAGCACTTCGTGGTTGTTGCTTGTTGTTGTTATTGTTAGGTGCCATCGAGTCGGTTCCGACCCATAGCGACCCTGTACAGGGTTTCCGAGGGTGTAAATCTTTACGGGAGTAGAAAGCCTCATCTTTCTCCCGCGGAGCGGCTGGTAGTTTCGAACCGCTGACCTTAAGGTTCGCAGCCCGATTTGTAACCACTACGCTACCAGAGCTCCTTAGGTGCCAGCAAATAGGTTCTGATTGATAGCAACACTATGCAGAACTGAATGAAACACTGCCTGGACTTGCACCATCCTTACAATCATTGCTGTGGAGTGAGGTCGGTGTGGAAATTGTTACAGCCAATCTATCTCACTAAGGGTTTTCCTCTTTTTCACTTCCCCTCTACTTTATCAAGCATGATGGTCTTTTCCAGGGACTGGTCCCTCCTGATGACATGGCCTAAGTAAGGGAGACTAAGTGTCATCACCCTTGTTTCTAAGGAGCATTCTGGATGTACTTCTTCCAAGACAGATCTATTTGTTCTTCTGACACTCCATGGTAATTTCAATGTTCTTCATTAACATCATAATTCAGACACAAATTCTTCTCCAGTCTTCCTATTCATTGTGTAACTTTCACATGCATACCATGACTTGGGTTAGGTGCCCCTTAGTCCTCAAAGTGATACCTTTATTCTATACTACTTTAAAGAGGTCTTTTGCAAATTTGATTTCTTGACTACTGCTTACAAGAGTGTTAATTGTGGGTCAAAGTAAAATGAAATCCTTTACAACTTCAATCTTTTCTCTGTTTATTATGATTGGTCCAGTTGTGAAGATTTTTGTTTTATGTGGAGGTATAATGCATACTGAAGGCTGTATTCTTCAATCTTCATTAGTAGGTGCTTCAAGTCCTCTTCCCATTCAGAAAGCAAGGTTATGTCACCTGCATATTGCAGGTTATTATTGAGTCTTCCTCCAATCCTGATGCTGTGTTCTTCTTCATACAGTTCAATTTCTTGGATTATTTGTTCAGCAGACAGATTGAATAAAACAGTTGAATAAGAAAGGATAGATGCAAACCTTTTCTGTTTTTGCAGTATCCCCTAGATCTATTCAAAAGACTACCTCTTGGTCTATGTACAGGTTCCACATAAGCAAAATTAAGTATTCTGGAATTCCCATTCCTTGCAATGTTATACAGAATTTGTTATGATCCACACAGTCGAATACCTTTGCACAGTCAATAAATCACAGGTAAACATCTTTCTGGTATTCTCTGCTTTCATCCAAGATCTATCTGACGTCAATAATGACATCCCTTGTTCTATATCCTGTTCTGAATCCAGTTTGAATTCCTGGAAGTTCCCTATTGATGTACATCTGCAATCATTTATTGCTTATCTTTAGCAGAAGTTTGTTTGCATGTGATATTAAAGATATTGTTTGATAATTTCCACCTTCCGCTGGATCACCTTTCTTTGGAATGTGCACAAGTGTATGGATTTCTTCTAGTTGGCTTGTCTTCCTTATTTCTTGCCATAGACAAATGTGTGCTTCTGTTTTACGTGTTTTTTGAAACATCTCCATTGGTATTCTGTCAATTCAATAGTGTAACTAGAGGCTTGGTTGTTTTTTTTCCATTCAGTTCTTTCATCTTGAGAAATTCTGAGTGTTTTCTTCGCATTTGGTTCTCTAACTGCAGGTTTTTGCACATTTCCTTATAATACTTTGCTTTGTCTTCTCGGGCCACCTTTTAAATTCTTTTGTTTAGTTCTTTTACATCATCATTTCTTCCATTCACTTTAGCTGTTCTCTGTTCAAGAGCAAGTTTCAGAATCTCTTCTGAGTCCTTTATGGACTTTTCTTTCTTTCCTGTCTTCTTAATGACCTTTTACTTTCTTCATGTATAATGTCCTTGATGCCATTCCACAACTCATCTGACCTCCAGTAATTAGTGTTCAATGCATCAAATCTATTCTTAAGATGGTCTCTAAATCCAGGTGGGATATACTCAAGGTTATACTGTGGCTCTTATGAACTCATTTAATTTTTTTTAGCTTCAACTTGAACTTGCAAGTTGAGCAATTTATGGTCTGTTCTGCGGTCAGCCCTTGGCCTGGTTCTGACTGATGAGCTGTTGTTGCTGTTGTTGTTAAGTGCTGATGAGTCAATTCCAACTCATAGTGACCCTGTATATGGTTTCCGAGGAGCAGAAACTGGGCTTGAACTGCCGACCTTGCAGTTCAAACTGACTTTGTGATCCAGTGTATTATCTTGTAGTGCCACACCAGGACTCCTTGGCATTAGTGTTGGGCATAACTTTGAATAATAGTCATATTGCCTGATCTTCCTTGTAGGCATATGAATATTACCCTATGACTAACAGTGCTGCACGTAAGAACAGATCTTGAAATATTCTTTTTACAAGATGATTGTGTTGACTTTCCTCTACACTCCGTCATTCCCAGCATAGTAGACCATATGATTGTCCACTTCAAAATGGCCAATACCAGTCCATTTCAGCTCACTAATGCCTAGGATATTGATCTTTATATGTAAGTTCCATTTCAAGGAGCTCTGGTAGCATAGTGGTTACGAATCAAGCTGCGAACCTTAAGGTCAGCAGTTCGAAACTACCAGCTGTTCCGCAGGAGAAAGATGAGGCTTTCTGTTTCCACAAGGATTTACAGCCTCGGAAACCCTGTATAGGGGCCGCTATGAGTCGGAACCGACTCCACGGCACATACCACCACCACTAAGTTCCATGTCATTTTTTACAAGTTCTTAGATTTTCTTAGATTCCATTTCTTTTAAAATCACAAGAGAATCTAACTTTTAGGCTGAATAAAATGCTTCAATATAAAATTATATTAATAAATATTTATGGTGCTGCTGTAGAACACTTAACTGCTGAGCCATCAGGCTGGCAGTTCAAGCCCACTAGCTCCTTCAAGGGAGAAAGATGAGGCTTTCTGCTCCCATAAAGATGTACAGCCTCAGAAGCCCTATGTTTTTGTTAGGTGCCGTAAAGTCCGTTCCAACTCACTGTGACCCTATGCACAACAGAATGAAACACTGTCTGTTCAGTGTAGAAGACTGTAGAAGAATTATGCACATGACTTATGGTATTGGCAAAGAATATTAAAAGATTATAAGATCAAACAAATCTATGTTAGAAGTACAGCTAGAATGCTCCTCAGAAGCCAGGATGAAGATGCTTTGTCTCTCGTATTTTGGATATGTTGTCGGGAAGAAGAAAAAACATCCTGGAGAAAAATAGCATGCTTGGTAGAGTGGAGGGTAAGCGAAAAAGAGGAAGCCCTCCAACAAGATGATACACAACTAATACAGAGGCAGCAACAATGGGCTCAAACGTAACAATTCTGAGGATGGTGTGGGACCAGACAGCATTTCATTCTGCTGTAATAAGAGTCCCTATGAGTCAGAGCCAACTCTACAGCAGCATCTAATCACCATCACCAACTTGCTGTTGTTGTTAAGTATCGCGGCGTTGGTTTCGACTCATAATGACTCTGCACAGGGTTTCCGAGGCTGCAAATCTTACAGGAGCAGAAAGCGTCATCTTTCTCCTGTGAACAGATGGTAGTTTCGAACTACCGACCTTGAGGTTAGCAGCCCAATTCGTAACCACTATATTACCAGAGCGCCCATCACCAACTAGGTACCAAATATTGTGTTAGATATAGTGGGAGCCACAGAGATGCAGCAGCCATGGATTTGACCCTCAAAAGACCTTACTAGATCCTTACACATTTTCATCCGATCGATTTTTCCACTCTTTAAAAACTTGTTTTGTCCATCTTGATCTCACGTTATATTGATGGTGCCATGGGCTAATGTGTCAGACTGCAAAGTCATTTGAACTATAAGGTCGGTGGTTCAAGCTCACCAGCTGCTCCTTGGAAACCCTATATAGGGTCGCTATGGGTCGGAATCGACTCGACAGCACTTATCAACAACGTTGCTGAACTCCAAATGGAGACACAGTGGGCTGGAATATTTAAAATCACAGATGACCTGAACAGTCCGGGACCCATGGGCATACAGCCCATGGCTCCATGTGAAGACACTTGAAAAGTGGCATTTTCTTAACTTGCTCTTCCCTGGGCTTTCTTCCTGCAGACCTATGACACAGGTAAACCAAAGTACGGAGTGCGAGACAGTGCCACCAGAAGAAGCCATCCAGACAGAAGCACGTCAGGCACCTTCTACTCTTGAGACTCACCCAACTACTATCCTGGAGGCAGACCATGAGGCTGCCCCCAAGCTGGAGCCTGCTTCAGGGCCTGAGCGTATGCCAGTTCCTGACTTTGAAATTGACCTTGGGCCGGAGCTGGAGTCAGAGTCAGAGTCGGAGCTGGAGCCGGAGCCGAAGCCGGAGCCAAAGCTGGAGCCGGTGCCGGTGCCAGAGCCAGAGCCAGAGCCGAAGCCGGTGCCGAATCGGGTGCCGGAGCCAGAGCCAGAGCCTGAGGTTGCATTTGAACCCCTGTGATGAAAAGGGAGTGATTAAGCCATAGACTTATGGCCTAAGGTATAGCTAAGGAACCCACTACTAGTGTTTGGAATTCAGTTGACATAAGCAACCCCTACCTCCTCCCTCCATTCTAAACCACCTCCTTCTAACTGTGTACTTACTTACAGACTCCAAATGAAGTGGGTCAAAACAACCAGTAGATTAATTCAAGGGTTCCTGCATAACCAGTAAAATATACTTACAATTTTACTAACATGTAAGCCTAACAAATGACAAGAAGGCAAGTCAATTTCTCAGTTTAAAGGATTCTATAGCAGCACTTACCAACATATTTCAGAAAGTCTCATCTATTTCTAGCTGCTCTCATTTATTATGCTTCACATAAACACATGACAAGGTGACAGTAAATAGATTCAATAGTTTCTAGGCTTTCCCTATTTTCATTTTTTAATTGACTGCAAAGAAAAGAATTCACCATCATCTTCATAGATTAGGGAGAAAATTTTCCAGAGAATATACAAAGAGTACATATTAATTAGTGAATAGCATTTAAAGCCACACCTTGAAATTGAGGCTTCACTTATCGTATTAGATTTCCCAAGGAACCACTTCCTAGCAAATTTTAAAACTGAGCTGATTTTTAAAAGCCAAAAATGTACAGGTAAAGGATTCTAAGTAAAAGTATCCTTCAGTGGACACAAAATGTTGCTATCATAGGTGATGTCCAGTTTACCACTGTGTCTGATGCTATCTGCTTTGGAAAGACCAGACCGGCAAACTGTTCTAAATGAACACTTAAGACGTATTTCAGATAATCCCAACTCATTATTTCAATAATCTGTCTTATTATTGATATATTTCATATTGAGAAACTATCATCATCCTTGTGTAAATGTTAAATTCACGAAAATGCATTCATAGCACTTCTTCACCTATTAAAAGTATTTTTTGTTAACCATGTTTTATTAACCAATTTATAGGTAGATGTTTTCATTTGTGTAATCAGTCACATTAGTTATTTTAAGGTTTAATAAATACTCAATAAAATCTTACTTGAATGAATTGTGAGCAGAATCCTTTATTAATCCTCAAAAGACAACTTTTTGATGTGTAACTTATGTACATGAAATGTACAATTTGATGAGTTTTAACACGAGTGCACCCTTAGAATTGCCATCACATTCTAGATGCAGAACATTTCCACCATCCTCAAGTGTTCCCTGTACCCCTCTGAGCAGTCAATTCCACCATCACCTTGGACCTAGGCAACCACTGATCTGCTTCTCACCACTAGAGATGATTGTGCCTTTTAAATCAATGGAATCACAAGTATGTCCTCACATTCATGGATGACTTGTTTGTTCCTCAGGGGATGGCTACTACGCTCGCTATATGACAGCATCATGATTAAAGATGATCTTGATAGCCTGGAAAGCAGAGCTGAAATCAACATAATGAAGTTGACAGTAATGGATCGGAAAGTAATAATAGGCCACTACCTAAATAGTCTGGAGTCTTGGTGTGGCACTGTGGGATAAAGCACTGGACCACAAGGTTGGTTTGAACCACACGGTCGGTGGTTCAAACTCACCAGCCACTCCTTGGAAACCCTAAACAGGGTCATAATGAGTCAGAACGGACTCAACAGCACTTAACAACAACACAACCCAAAAAGTCTAAGGAGCCCTGGTAGCGTAGTGGGTTACAAGCTGAACTGCTAACCACAAGGTCAGTAATTCCTATCTATCAGTCACTCCATGGGAGAAAGATGAGGCTTTCTGCTCCTGTATAGATTTACAGCCTCAGAAACCATATACAGGGTTCCTATGAGTCAGAACCGACTCAGTGGCACACAACCATCACCCCCCAAATAAATTACTTCAACATAAATCTGATTCAGAGGAAGGACATGATTTATTTTGCCATAGGTAGTTAACATTTGGAGTCCTGGTGTGACGCTGTAGGATAAGCACTAGACTGCTAACCACAAAGTCAGCATTTTAAACCCACCAGCGGCTCCTCGGAAATCCTATATAGGGTTGCTATGAGTCAGAACCAACTTAACAAATTAACATTTGAACTGGCTCAAAGACAGGAACTAACTACAACCAAGTTAATATTTAACTGAGTTGCTAAGTGCCTCCTCCGAGTCCTGTCTGACTACAGCAATCCTGTACAGCATTTCTGAGGAGCAGCTGGTAGGTTTAACTTTCAACCTTGTACTGATCCCACAGCGCCGCACCAAGAGTCCACTTTCCAACTAAATCCCAAACTAGCCTCGGGGCTTCTTACCCATTTACTTCTCAACACCAAAAAGGATTTCCAAAAACTCTTCCCTCATCTGGTTCTGCTCTGCTAAAGTGAACAGAACAACTGTCCCCTCCACATGCACTTGTTTTTTCAGTGACCCATCGGAGATTTATGGAGTGGCTACTACAACCCAGGCAATGGTACTAGTGCTGGTGATAACAATGGTGAACACGATCAGAGAGCCCTCTCATCCTTATGCTTCTACAGTTTGGCTAACTGACTAAGTCCTGTGTGCTATCACATACTGAAGGAGCTCTGGTAGCGTAGTGGTTACGAATCGGGCTGTTAACCTCAAGGTCAACAATTTGAAACTACCAGCTGTTCCATAGCAGAAAAATGAGGCTTTCTGTTCCCGTAAAGATTTACAGCCTTGGAAACCCTGTACAGGGTCACTGAGTCAGAACCGACTCCACGGCACATAACAACAACAACAACATGACATACTGGATAACCACTGGACTGCAAGGTTAGTTTCAACCTCAAGGTCGACAGTTCAAACTCACCAGCCACTCCTCGTAAACACTCAGCGGGGTTGCTATGAGTCAGAACCAATTCAAGAACACTACTTAACAATCAACATGTTACTGCAGAGGCAATATTATATACCTTTACACTGGCCTGGCCTACGTCTACTTCCACTTTGAGGAACCTTTAGTAAGAATTCCAAAGCTGAGAGAGAGCTTTGAGAATACCATTCAACCTTTCCATTCTCCCACGTCCTTCATACCTGATGGGGGTGGTGGGAGAAGATGAAAATTATGTTATTGGGGGGCAGGAAGGGGTGAATATAAAGAAATCAGGGTTATTCTTATATATTCCTACCCAACCCCCGGAGAAGAGACCCTGAGTTAAGAAAAGGAAACTAATCACCTGAAACAATGCACAACCAACACTAGATACCAAGTTTTTTGATTCCCAGTGCAATGCTCTTTTAACTGCAACAAACTACTAATTCCGATGAAACAAACCCACATTTTAGTAATAAAAGGTTACTCTTAAATGTCCATCTGCCAGAAAACAGGTTTGCGGGCCTCATAAAACGTTCAACCCAGTCAATCAATACTCAACAATCCCACTTGTCTTTGAAGCTTCGGTTTAAAAATAAAATTAAACCATGAATTCACAGATGACATATTGAATGCTCCAGGAAACCAAAAAGCGTAAGCCAATTTAAAGATGAAAACACCAGAGTGGGTGTTAAAATTAAGGGGTCATTATCAAAATGTCCAAGGCCCTTCCATTTGGTCCGCAGCTATTAGTAGAGAGGTAAAAACAAAATGGACGCGGGTCTAGGAGAGCTAGATAATCATACTGGCTGTTCCTCCTAACTAGCTCTGGGTGTATTCTCACCTGTAAAACGGGGATCATTTCTGCCTTCTTCAAGGGTAGGGTAAAAATGGATATAAAACTTGTAAACGACAGAGTACAGAAGAACTATGTTGCAGAACCCACATCTGACAATTCAGTATTCTTTTTTCTCTTGATAAAGGATTCTTAATTTTTTTGAGAGTCAAGAGTAGAGAATTTGATGGAAGATACTTACTTATCCCAGAAAAAGGCACATATAAAGTCCTGCATTCAATTCTAGACACTCCATGGAACTGTGCAACTGGAGCCATAGCATCCCCAAAGGCACGCCTACACTGTACAAAAACTTGGATACAGGAAGTTATGGCACAGCCATGTAATAAATTCACTGAAGCTGTAGTTGAGAACTTGGGTAAAGCATACCTGGATCATATAGCATAGACAGCTAAATTCTACAAAGTCGGAGATTACACAGTAAAATGCAAACTTACTCTGAATTTCATAGAATCTCAGTGAAATTGTGGATTCTTTGCAATAGAAACTAAGAATGTTTGCCTATTTGTTCCATCTTACATTCTCAGTTAATGGAGCTCTGGTAGCGCAGTGGTTATGAATTGGGCTGCGAACCGCAAGGTCAGCAGTTAGAAACTACCAGCTGTTCCGCGGGAGAAAGAGGAGGCTTTCTGCTCCCATAAAGATTTACAGCCTCGGAAACCCTGTACAGGGTCGCTATGAGTTGGAATCGACTCCACGGCACATAACAACAACGACATTCTCAGTTAAAATTGGCAATTACAACTGTCATCTACGTTCTGAGTTCATTTGGGAAGTAAGTGGAAAACTTGCTAACCTTGAATCAGCTTCATCTCTATCAGGTTTCCTATAGAGGACAGGAAATACTTTGATTAGTACACAAAACTAGAGTATCCTTAGTCTATATAAATCAATCCAAAAGGCACTTTATTAAAAATATTAATACTTTACAGATTACCTGATAAAATAACACACATCTGTGTTATTTATTTACTGAAGAGCTAGAATGAGTTTTCTTTTCCACTTACATATCTGAATACTTCTCAGATAATATTTATGAAGTGTTAATGTCTTTAAGCCCTGCAGGCCCTATTAGGCACAACTTCATTTTCTGATTGTGCTAAAAGAATACCAGAAATAAGTCATTTCCCCTGATAATAATTCTATTGCCAGCTTTAAATAAGCAAAGTTTAATTCTGTAAAAAGTTGCTTCCCTGATTAATATCTGTAAAGATTAGCACTCAATATATCTATGTAAAAAGGGTTTGTATATCAGTAAAACAAGTCATGTTGACAAAACTCATTTTAGCTTCTGTTCATTAAGTCTTTGACCCAAAATGAATGCAAGTTTATAGGCTCACTCAGATCCCTTATTTCAAGCAATTATTTGCAGTATGGAATTCAAATGAAAAAAAAATTTAGAATCACTTAGAGTTCATTAGACTTTATGACTAGTAATAATTTAAGATGCTTCCCTAAATTCAATGAACTCAAGTCTACACTTAGTCATTTCCTTTGCTCCAAACTTAATTAGCATTTCAGAAGATTACTATTTTTATTTAGCTGCAGTTCAAGCTTCACTAATTTTATTGACTTTATAGCTACCAAAAACTGAGAAACGTCTTTGCAAAGTATTTTAAGGCTTAAATGGGTGTCTGATTTGAAAAATAAAATGGGTACGAGGCGACTTTTAAAAGTTCATGGGAAAATTCCATTTTTTTTTTTTTTACAAACTTTTTGAAGAAGTTCCCTCAAATTTTCTGAACATATTTTTTTTCTGAAATATAAATCAAAATATATTTTGTGTTACATACCATTTTAACAAGTCTGACATTTTTGTCAATACTTGATGGCTTAAAATAGATATTCTGAAAATTCCGATTTTATTTTAGAGGAAAATAGTTCATTAAAAAGATACGTGAGTACACAGGCTAGTATTTTTCACTGCTTTTATTTTATTAGTGTTTATGAATGCAAAATTTGGGTAACATGTCCTCCAACTTAAAATTTGGTCCACAAAAATATATACAGATTCCTCCTGTAACAAAAATAAACTTTACAGTTGCAAAAACAAAAATTTGACATAGGCCTGAGTGAGTTTGGATAAACAAGTTAGGATGTGTTTCAACATATGGAGGAACATTCTAGAATCCATTTAGAAACATTTGGCAGAATAAATGACCTGGTGCTACTGGTGGTTTTGTGCCTTAGGAAGTGAGAGTGGGTGCATGAAAAGGAGCTAGAGACTCACAACAGCCACAGTATCACTCACTCAAAATTACCCACAACCCAATACAGAGTATTTAATAGTAGAACAATTTAAACAGTGACTCAAGGTCTGGAAAGCAGTTGGAAGCTGAAAACAAGTACCTCAGTAGGAACAATAGTCAACGTTTATAAGACTCTGAAGGTAAGAAAACATCATTCACAGATGATGTATTGTGCACAAGTACATTCGTTTCCAGGACACTGGGGAAAACCATAAAACACACAAAGTTAAAATCTAAGCTGCTTAACCTTGCACCATTTTCTTGAGTATTAAACCCAGGCCACCTTTGGCCACTTGCAGGGGTGTATTTTCTTCTTTATTCTCAATGTAAATACTTGCTCCTTGGGACACCAGCACTTTTGCTTCTTCCACTCTCTCCTCATCACAGGCTAAGTGTCTGAAATTAGGGAGCATAAAAACCATTAATCACTACTAATTCTACGTAATGGTTAGGATTACCTGTTGTTGTTTTTGTTGTTGTAAAGTGCCACTGAGTCAGCTCCGACCCATAGCAACCCAGTATAGGGATTCTGAGGAGTGGCTGGTAAGATGGAACCATCGACCTTGTGGTTCAAACTGACTTTGCAGTCCAGTGCATTAACCCACAGTGTCACACCAAATTGCACATTATTAAGCAGCGGCAATATTGGAAATTTTCTTAATTAAAAAAGAAAAATCTATTTGCATGTGGAAGGCTGTTTATAAAATTAAAAAATCAATGAAAAAAGCTTGATAACACCAGATCATATACCATAATTCTGGTCCTGCTACAAAAGAAGGGATCTAAATGCAAGCCTTAGAAAGAGCAACTTTCTTATTTCATAAAATTAAAAGTATTTTCCCAATACATATGTAATAAGTCAGGGCTAGAAGTTATATAAGGCCCAGTTCACACAGTTATTTACAATATATAGCATTGTGTGGCTTGAATTTTGGAAACAAAAGTTTAAAAGATTTTAATCTCCTTGGGCCCTTATGTCTACCCTTGGTTGTTGTTTTTTAAGTGCCGTTAAGTCAGTTGGACTCAGTGACCCTGTATAAGTTTCCATGGAGCAGCTGGTGGTTTTGAACCGCTAACCTTGTCTAGTGCTTATCTGACAGCGTTAGAAGACTTTATTATCACCATTTTGCAGCTGAAATTGTGACAGAGGCTGTTTTTTGCTTTTTTTTGCCTATGATGACATGGCTGAGCAGTAACTTAACTAGGAAAGAAACTAACCTTTGTTAGGCTCTTATAGTTTGCCAAGCAGGGTATTAGGCACTTTTCATGTAATTTGATTTAAACCTCTCCACAATCTAGTGAGGAAGGAAACCTTATCCTCATTATTATAGGTGAAGGTGAGAAGTTCAGACTCAAAAAGGTTAAATACCAACCCCATCACCACCACCAACCAACAAGCAGAACTGGTAGGTAGTAGACCTTGAAGGGTCGGGTGAAAAGCAGCTTAAAAACAAAACAAAAAAACAATAAATAAATTAATACGAAAATGGTTACTATTGAGTCCATTCTGACTCATGATGACTCCATGTGTCCTCAGGTGACATACAGAGTCACTATGCTCTTTACAGAACCCTATACTGTCTGCCACCTAGATGTCCTTTAGGCCAGTCTGTCTTGCTTCAGTCCTGGTATATGGTACTGTAGGATAAGCAAGCATTCAACCGCAAGGTCGGTTTGAACTGCAATGTTGGCAGTTTAAATTCACCAGTTGGTTGCTATGAGTCAGAACCAACTCAATGGCACTTTACAGTCTATCTTGCTAGTTTATGGAGAAAAGAGCTAGAATCTGCAGGTCTTTCTAAAGAAAGTCATTTAGGAACACAGAAAATATTTTTTACAACTAAGAGTTCAGAAAACAATATTGTAAAGAAGTTGGCTTAATGTCAAATTGGGAAAAGGCTGATCCTTACTTTTGACTAAACAGAAGAGTCAGCAGATTTCTGGATCAAAATAGTATCACTATTCAATAAATAAGAAAAGCAGCCTAGTATTATGGGGAACAAAAAACTTCAGAATAGAGGTTGGGTTCGGGTCATATACATAAACCCATTGTAGGTGAATTTAAGAATTAAATGCAAAACAATAATAAGCACTCTCCAAAAAAACAAACAAACAAACAAACAAACCAATGAGAGGGGAGCGATGACCACAGTGGTAGAAGCAGCAGCTTCCCTGTGTGCACCCCTACACTGGGAAGAAGATGCTAATTAAAATGAAGACGCTAACAGGAAAGGAGATTGAAATTGGCATTGAAACCACAGACAAGGTGGAGCGAATCAAGGAGCCTGTGTGGAAGAGAAAGAGGGAATTCCCCTATAGCAACGGTGACTCATCTACAGTGGCAAACAGATGAATGATGAGAAGACAGCTGCTGATTACAAGATCCTAGGTGGTTCAGGCCTCCACCTGGTGTTGGCTCTGCGAGAAGAAGATGGCCTTAGGCAGTGATGAACTTTTCTTCCACTTTACCTCCTTACCCTGTCACTTGTAATGAGGCATCATACATCCTGTCAATTCTCTGGGACCCCAGAGCCACTGTCCCTACCCCTGGCTGTCCAGTTTTGTGTGTCTACTAGTGGTAGACTTTGAGGACTCCAGGACGCACTGTTCCTGGCCCAAAGGGTCCTTGTTGGCTTTTGGATTTTAGTTTGTGGTCCTATATGCTCCCTTTTCATAAAGCTAAGTCCTTGGTTGTCAAAACATTTCCTGGCTTCCTGGGGGAAAAAAATTGCCAATGAAACATTAAAAAACAACAACAGCAACACTCTATAACAAAATACAAGTGAATATTGAACTAATTTCCGGTGGGGAAGAACTTCTTAGTCATAAGGGAAGATCAATAAGCTTGACTATATAGAAATTTTAAAACTGATATATATATATATATATATATATTAATCATGAACAAAATGAAAAGGCAAACAAATGAAAAAATGTCTTCAACTAACGTGACAAACTGGACTGCTAACCACAAGGTTGGCAATTCAAACCTACCAGCCGCTCCTTGGAAACCCTATACAGGATGGCTATGAGTCAGAACCTACTCAGTGGCACTTAACAACAACAAATGGGAGAAAAGATGAATTCATTTTTACTGTGTCAAGTAAAAGGCACGTCAACATCAGTAAACACAAATAAATTCCATACAAGAAAACAGAGAAAGCAATATAAAATGTCACAATTTAGAGAAGAAATATAATTAGCCACAACTTCACTGAAAATTTTTAAGAAGGAAAACCACGACTAAGAAATATTTTGCAAATCACAGAAGGGCGACTTCAAGGTTGGTGGGAGTACTAAGCACTCTCGAACTGTTCTTGGAAGGGCACAGTGATACAACTCCTCTGGAAGCAATTGTAATGACAATCGTTTAAAAATTGGATGTATTTGTTGACCCAGTAACTCTACTTGTAGGAATCTAAACTAAGGAAATGATCAGCAAGGTGGCCAATTTTAGCAATAATGGAAAACTCAAAACAGTTTCATTATACAGTTATAGAGCAGTGATTAAATGATCTACATTCACAAAATGAAATTTCATATGGCAATTAAAATTTTCTTAGCTATATCTGTTGGCATTAGAAAATGCTCACAATATACCACTGGGTGAAAAGAATAAGAAATAAAACTAAATACACTATATGATCAGCTTTTTATTTAAAAAAAACAACAACGTATACAATATATGAAGGAGCTTCATAAAGTTCATGGGAGAAATAGAATAAAGGTAACGAAAATTTCCACAAACTTTCTGAAGCCCCTATGTGTATATACCGGAGTCCTGGTGTGGCACTGTGGGTTAATGCGCCAGACTGCAAAACCGTTTGAACTGCAAGGTCGGTGGCTCAAGCTTACCAGTTGCTCCTTGGAAACCCTATACAGGGTCGCTATGGGTCGGAACCGACTCGACGGCACTAAACAACATGTGCATATACAAGGAGTCCTGATAGCATTGTATGATACGCACTGGATTGCTAACCTCAATGTCGGCAGCTCAAACCCACCAGTTGTTCCTTGAAAGAAAGATGAAGCTTTCAGCTCTTGGAAAGATTTACAGCCTTGGAAACCCTATGTAGGGTTGCTATGAGTTAGAATCAACTTCACGGCAGTGAGTTTGTGTGTGTGTATATGTATACGTTATTGTTAAATGCCATTGAGTTATTTCTGACTCACAGCAACCCTGGAGATGGTTTTCAAGGAAGGGTTGGTAGATATGAACGACCGACCTCAGGGTTAACAGTCCAGTGCTTGTTATACAGTGTCACATCAGGACCCCTTATTTTGTTGTTGTTACGTGCTGACTCATAGCGACTCTGTATAGGGTTTCCAAGGAGTGGCTGGTGGGTTTGAACTGCCGATCTTGCGGTTCAAAGCAAACTTGAGGTCCAGCTCATTATCTTGCAACACCACAATAGTCTGGGGAAAACGCACAAAGATATTATTATTAGTGGTTACTTCTGGATGGCAAAATGATAGGCAATTCTTATTTTTATCTTTATACTTTTGGGTAGTTTCCAAAATATTTTTTTGCCATAAATATGTTTTACATTTACAAGCAGAATAAAAAAATAAATCATGTGTACGAATTATGGCAAGAGGGCTAGTGTCAGGCAGAATATAAATGACTGCTACTTGTCACTTACAGAGGAGTGTTACCCTCAGTGTCTTGGATATTTGTGGATGCTTTGTAGTACAGAAGGATATGAATCATCTTCAAGTTACCCTTGGCTGCTGCCCGGTGCATTGCTGTTGCCTCAAAATGGTCCTTAGCATCTGGATTAGCCCCACCTTCTAGCAACATGACAGCAATCTGGAAGGAAGTAGAAAAGCACGAATGCAAAGATCTTTTTGTGTTTGTGCGTAGGTTTTATCTTGAGAGAAGTAGCCTAGGAATGGGAACATACCTCGTGCCTGTTTTTGGAAGCTGCATAGTGCAGGGGAGTACAGCCATTCTGATTGACAGCATTCACTTGAGCACCTTTTCCCAGAAGGGCTTTTACAATCTCATCCCGGCCAGCAGAAGCAGCAATATGAAGAGGAGTCCAACCTGCCTGTAAGAGGTAGGATGTACCACCCAAAACCGGGTGGGGGAAAGGCACAAGCATTGATGGTAATGTTATAGGCAGTGTTTACAAAGACAGCTTCTCTGCAGAAGACAGATGAGGTTTCTGTTCCCGGAGAGACTGAAAGCCTGGGAAACCCTATATAGGATCGCTATGAGTCCAAATCGACTTGGCAGCACATAAGCAACAATTTTAATGTGCTTTTTCCCACATATTTTTAAAATCAAAATTGGGATAAGAGCTACAGTTTGTGAGCTCTATTTTCCACTCATCAGTTTGGTGTGAGCATTTTTCTACCTAATTCTTTGGAAATATAATTATAGTGTGCATACTATTTCATCATTTAGATATACCGTACTGTATTCAACCCTTCCATTAAATTACTTTCATTTGCAATTGTAATTATTATTTCAGTTGTTGTTGTTAAGTGCCATCGACTCGGTTCCAACTCATAGCGATTCTGTATAGGGTTTCCAGAACAACTGGTGAGTTTGAATTGCCAACCTTGTGGTTCAACCCAACCTTGCGTTCCAGTGCATTATCCTACAGCACCACACCAGGACTCCAATACTTCACTGGATGTCCTCAAAAAGGAATCTTTACCTACAAAGAGTATTTCATTCTTACGCTTCACAAATTTAATTCTATTATGATCCATTCCGTTACATCTTTATCTAGGCCCTCACTATTCAGACAGTATTCAAACATACACACAGTCAAGAGTTCATGGTAATAGGCTTTTATCTCTAGTAGAAATCCATTTCTATATATTCTGGCAAGAGGAAATGAGGCAAAGCGAAGTAATTCTGGTTTATTTTTAATCACAAAGTAGAAAGATTAACATTAAAAAATATTGTCACTGCTAATTCTGTGTGAGTCACCAAGGCCATGCTGAAACTTCCTAGTCATACAGATTACAATTTCATTTATGTGATAAATGAATACTCCAGGTTCCAAAAACACCAGTCTGGATTCTAAAGATAACTGGGAATTTATCAGTTCTGCCTAGTACTTACATCATCTTTATCATTCACTGGCACTCCAAGCTGTAGCAAGAATTCAACTATTTCTGTGTGTCCCGCTGAACATGCCCAATGCAATACAGTTCTGTTGTCCTGCACAGGAAATGGAGAAGAAATAAGATCAACATTCTTTAAGAAAAATAGAAGAACTAAGGGGAAAAAAGCAGGAAATTTATATTGGGCCTAGAAAATCTATAGATTGAAAACAAGAAATGGAGAATATTGGATCCTCAGGTAGGCAACCTTAAACCATATGACTTTACTAGTGTAAGAGAAAGACGAAGTATGATTCAATCATAATAGTAAATAATTATTCACTATTATCAAATCTGAGTCCTGATGTGGCGCTGTAGGTTAATGCACTAGACTGTACAGTCGGTTTGAACTGCAAGGTTGGTGGTTCAAGCTCACCAGTTGCTCCTTGGAAACCCTCTAGAGGGTCGCTATGGGTTGGAACTGATTTGATGGCACTTAACAACAATTACCAAATCATAATGAATACACGCCAGGAAATGGCAGGGCCTATTTTCAGGTTGAGTAGCAGCAGTTTCCTGACTTCTAGGTTTTAGTTACATGGGGGAATTACATTGACGATCTCTGGGCAAAACAGAGCAATGAAAGCAGTAGAACTCAAAACCACCACTGTTTTGTCAGAACCAGAGCTTTGGCTGCTTATTATTAAATTATTTATGTACTTTAAACATGTATGCTTGTGGGGCCAAAAATTAAAAACCAAGCAATCTGAGTAGCAAAAGAAAACAAAGGGACTAAATCTGTCAGACACTATGTTAGAAGTTTTGCATACACTGTCTCATTTTACCTCTATGACCCTATACATGATACTATTTCTATTCTACAGATGAGGAAACTAAAACTCCTCAGGGACTGGACCACATTTAACAACAGGCATATAAAATAATTGTTTATATATATAATTATTTATATAGAATATCAACTGTTTGAGCATAAAAATAATTATATATATAAACATATACACATATACATACATACAGGTGTGGCACTGTGGATTAATGCGCCAGACTGCAAAGCTGTTTGAACTGCAAGGTCGGTGGTTCAAGCTCATCAGCTACTCCTCAGAAACCCTATACAGGGTCGCTATGGGTCAGAATCGACTCGATGGCACTTAACAACTATATATATATATA